ATACAAGATATAATCAAGGTTGCCCTCCATCATGGAGCAGTTTGGAAAATTATCAGCTTAAAACTACACAAAGGTAAAACGGAGGAATTTTGGTTAAATAGAAATAAGTAAATAACAGGGAAAGTTTGGTATAAATTGGAAGCTAGAGATAAAATCATCAGGCATTTATTTAGTAACAAATAAAAAGGCATGCAGTCATTTAAACTGGGAAGTTTTAAAAAAGTCAGTAGACGAGATGATCTAAATTAGAAAATCGAAAACTTTCGATGCTTTGAAAAAGTGATACAATCGTTAGTAATTCCTAAAATTACAAAGTCAACGTGCAACATATTGAAAAGTATGTGTGGAGCATTTGGAAAAAAAAAACCAAATACTTAAGCTTATACGAGATGGGGGGGGGGGGGGGGGGGGGGGGGGGGGGGGGGGGGGGGGTGGGGAATGAAGTGTAAAACTATGATCGGTTGCTATGAAAAAGGAGGTTTGAACGTGCGTGACCTAGAATCACATATTGATATAACTTCAGTTAAATCTTCAAAATGAATAAACATGTCTGACCTTTATAGAACTGTATTAGAGGCTAGCTTATATTTGGGAGGAGGTCAAATGATGCCTTGCTCCGGATTCACTGATATCAGAAAAGAGGTGTTATTGGTAAATAGAATATCAGACTTATCAGTAAATCTTTCGTGAACAGTTAACATCATAAACGAAGGAAAAGTCTTAGAAGAAGCTATCATATACAAAGGTATAATAAATGGAAAGGCAACCGAAACTGGATCAATGAACTAGCACAAATGAAAAAAAATTCCAAACGATTGAGGAAAAATAATAGAAAGGGAAAACTTGGTGAAGACAGTCATTAAACAGACAAGAAATTTTGTTCCATAAAAAGGAAAACTATTGATATAGAAAATGTAAACAATAAACACTAATATAAAGTAGCCGTAGCTAATCAATTTATACAACCGTACAGTAAGGATACATGGAAACGGTTATTCAACATTGACCATCCTCAGATATATATATATATATTTCATGAGTTTTATATTTAGACATAACATTATACCATGTCAACAACATTTACAGAAATGGAAAATTGAAGATAATAACTTATGTACTGTTTGCCACGTGAAAGATTATCATTTACATTATTTCGTATATTGCAATTTTTAGAGTATTTTAGGAGGAAAATTGTAGAAATATTTAAATCTTTTGGATACGCCGTAAATTTGAAAAATCTTAAATATGTTGTAATTGGATATGAAATGTTGAATTGTTTTGTTGAATTAAACATATTTTATTGTAAATCATTTACAAAAGGATCGGGCACAAGTTATTTCAACTTATAGTTGCCCTTTCCTCAATGCATTACAAAACAAAAACATCACAATATTTTCTTGTACTAGAAAAAACAAATCAATCAAAAAATGTTACAAATTATTAACAGTTGTGATGGTTTTATTAGTTTAAAAGAATCTTTAGAAGACATAAAAATCGATGAATAAAATGAAATAAAAGTATGGGAACAGATGGTTTATCCGTAGATTTTCATTTTAATTTTGGGACCAGATTCTCTCTCTCTCTCTCTCTCTCTCTCTCTCTCTCTCTCTCTCTCTCTCTCTCTCTCGCATTGCATTTCAGTGTTTGTCCTAGAGGAACTTTGCTTCCGTCACTACACTATAGTGTTTCACCAGGAGGAACTTGATTTCTGTCACTCCACCACAGTGTTTGTCCTTCAGGGACTTGATTTCTGTCACTACATCACAGTGTTTGTCATTCAGGGACTTGATTTCTGTCACTCCACCACAGTGTTTGTCCTTCAGGGACTTGATTTCTGTCACTACATCACAGTGTTTGTCATTCAGGGACTTGATTTCTGTTACTCCACCACAGTGTTTGTCCTGGAGGAACTTGATTTCTGTCACTACATCACAGTGTTTGTCCTGGAGGAACTTGATTTCTGTCACTCCACCACAGTGTTTGTCCTTCAGGGACTTGATTTCTGTCACTCCACCACAGTGTTTGTCCTTCAGGGACTTGATTTCTGTCACTCCACCACAGTGTTTGTCCTTCAGGGACTTGATTTCTGTCACTCCACCGCAGTGTTTGTCCTTCAGGGACTTGATTTCTGTCACTCCACCACAGTGTTTGTCCTTCAGGGACTTGATTTCTGTCACTCCACCACAGTGTTTGTCCTGGAGGAACTTGATTTCTGTCACTCCACCACAGTGTTTGTCCTGGAGGAACTTGATTTCTGTCACTCCACCACAGTGTTTGTCCTTCAGGGACTTGATTTCTGTCACTCCACCACAGTGTTTGTCCTTCAGGGACTTGATTTCTGTCACTCCACCACAGTGTTTGTCCTTCAGGGACTTGATTTCTGTCACTCCACCACAGTGTTTGTCCTTCAGGGACTTGATTTCTGTCACTCCACCACAGTGTTTGTCCTTCAGGGACTTGATTTCTGTCACTCCACCACAGTGTTTGTCCTGGAGGAACTTGATTTCTGTCACTCCACCACAGTGTTTGTCCTGGAGGAACTTGATTTCTGTCACTCCACCACAGTGTTTGTCCTTCAGGAACTTGATTTCTGTCACTCCACCACAGTGTTTGTCCTTCAGGGACTTGATTTCTGTCACTACATTACAGTGTTTGTCCTGGAGGAACTTGATTTCTGTCACTCCACCACAGTGTTTGTCCTTCAGGGACTTGATTTCTGTCACTCCATCACAGTGTTTGTCCTTCAGGGACTTGATTTCTTTCCCTCCAACACAGTCTTCGTCCTGGGGGAACTTGCTTCCTGTCCACATTACTGCCTCAGGGATATGGAACTTGCTTCCTGTCCACATTACTGCCTCAGGGATATGGAACTTATTTCCTTTTTTAACTCATTTTGTTTTGTTTATTAGTTATTGTTAATCATCATTTGGATCTAATATATGGAAGTGTTCTATAACATGAAGGCAATTCACATATTGTTTTCAATATTGAATATTGATGAAAAAACTATTTTCGAAAATGAAATCACCCAACTGCTCTTTGGGCATGGCAGGTAATGACATAAAACTTCATGTTGAATCAAACGTTTACTACATTTTGACTATGATGACAGAACACAGCATTCATAAAAATAAATACGTCTCTCTCATATCTGCATACTGTAAATTAAATTTGTTTTGATTCAGTTACAAATTTCGTAATCAAAATAAATTCCCGAAAATTGTATCAACGAAAAATTAAAAGAGGGGTATTGATTTTTGTTGCGTTGAACCTGTGTGTATGGTCTCCTTCCCAAAATTCACATGTCCCGAACTAAAAATGTAGTTGAGACACAGTACCCGCCAAAGAAAGTACTATTAGAGTATGCTGTTCAGGACTCTCAGCCACCTTCCGACTTTCTGAAAAGTTACCATATTGCAATTGTTTTGAAACCATGCCATTCTACACTACAAAGTGTTTAAGAAGTGGCGCCACAGCGATGTATCTTAATAAACTAATTTACTGATTTACCTGCGCTCAAATATTATATGATACAGATACGGTCGCTCTTCCTTATGATTTTCCCGCGCTTTAATATTTTGATTAAAAAAATTACAGCTTATTGGTTTGAAATTAATCAAAATCAAAAGAAAAATACGATTGCGTCGATTTACTGTTGATTCAGGATTTATGAACTCTCCATCTCGGTTTCCTGTTAATAGATAAAGATTTACAAAAGTGGAATAAAGGCGTTTAATTTCACATTCAGATATATTGATGACCTCTTGTCTTTAGATAACAAGAAATTTATTTACCTCGTCTATCATATATACCCACGAATTGGAAATTAAAGAAATTTTCCATTTCTTGATGGCAATATCCATGTATCCCGCAATCTATGGTGTTGACATGTCGAAGTTGATTCGATATTCAAGGGTCTGTTCCCATCATCACGATTTTCGTGCAAGAAATCGTCAATTGCCGGACAAACTCGTAACACAGGGTTTCAAAAGATGAAAGTTAATGAAAATTATGAGTAAGTTTTAAGATCTTCATAGTGAGCTATTTTGAAAACGTTATATTACTTTTTGGGATTGGCCAAGGTTTTAAATGGCGGGTGTTGTCGATGAAGTAGAAGACGCTTACTCTTCCGAAACATCTGGTCTTATTCTCCTTGAATTTTTTCTCGAGTCGCCGTGTAAATCTTTCTTTGTACATATTTGCACTAGTTTTATGTAATTTTAGTATGTATTGTGATTATGTTGACGTGCTTGTATTCTGATGTTTTTGCCTGCACTCCGACGTTATATTCTGTCAAATTCACCTGTGTCTGAATATTATACGTTCCAATTAATCATAGGAGGCTCTGACACTACTCAGAAAATTGCAAAAAACGTAATAATAAAGAAATCATAATAGGAAATACAACTTATACAAAGTGGAAGAAAACATCACCAATGTTAAGAAGCAAAGTGCAGAATCACAATCGCGAATAACGACTAACAATGACTTTTAAATACAACAGCAGAGAACACAATTAACATGATTGAATGTAGTGACAAAGCACCATCTAAAACAAGTTTTCCTGGCATGAAAGCTAAGCTAACAAACTATGGCCTAAATCTGACACCAAAGAGAATATCTAGAAGATAAAGCGTGACGGAAAGAGCACTTAATAATGTAAAGATTTAAAAACTTTTCCAACAGAAAACAATTGAGAAGGTTATTTACATGTATATATGTATATATATTACATCAACATTGATGTCAAGCTGAATCGTTTTTGTAAAGTGGTATTCAAAGCATTTGTTTCAATAAAAGCCCTCAGCGTTATGTTTATAACAAGAAAAGTTCCATCGACTAGTTAGCTAGTAGCTATTCATCAGTACATGTCCTTGGTTTAATTGATTAGGTATATATCATACTTCTCAATACGATAATACGTTTACTATCTTTTACAAGGTTTACGCAATTCTTACTTAGCTTTGTATGATTCTGCATGTAACCTTTAATTAGGAAATATGCCCTTAAAGATCTCCTTACTGATGTTTCATATATTACCAGTAATCAACGGAATACAGCTAGATGTGCCCAAATTTCAAAGTAACTTTTATTTGTCCAGTGTGGGGTATAAGTCTATCAGTGAGATTGGTTTGTATGAGTGTGCTCGATGTTGTGGTTTGGAATCTGGATGTCAATCCTTCACTTGCAGCACAACGCATCTCAGATGTCGACTTATCGAAGACGATTCCAGCACGGCACCAGGAAAATTCCACGCAAATCCTGGGTTCATATATGGAAACAGGACCACGGTTGTTTTGGTAAGTCAGTTTCTTCAAAATGAAATTTTTGTACGTATGATACCAGAACAAAATGGTGAATAATTTTATGGAAAAGAGGGGGGAAAGTTAATATAATGTAATAAAGGATAAACTAATTGATTGATCAATTTTATATTGATACAATGTTTGTAAACCTTTACTTGTTATTACAGTAAAAATTAAAAAAAATCATCTTTAACATGTTACAACTAAGAATGGGGTCATAGACCGTACTGAAGGGGTTGACTAACAATAGTTTTGATTTACACTGTTTCTTGACAGTAAATTGTTTTTGTTCTTATCATAATAACGATAGCACCATGCAGAAACCCGTAATCCACTTCAAGAAAGTAAACATTCTGGAAAATTATTATTGAAGATAATACACGGTGAGTGTCTTTAAAAAAACTGTATTTTGACAAGAATGATAAAAGATATGTCCCGAACAAAACACCAGCTTATAATTTGAGAAACTGGTCATATATACTATTTATCCTGTAACATTTATTGAACTTTCAGAATATCGGAACAGTTTGTTGTTCAATCTTTGTTTTTATGCGGTGACTTTCATTGACTTTCATTTCATTGATAATAAACTAATATTTCAGTTCGTCGTTGATAATAAACTAATATTTCAGTTCGTCGTTGATAATAAACTAATATTTCAGTTCGTCGTTGATAATAAACTAATATTTCAATTCGTCGTTGATAATAAACTAATATTTCAGTTCGTCGTTGATAATAAACTAATATTTCAGTTCGTCGTTGATAATAAACTAATATTTCAGTTCGCCGTTGATAATAAACTAATATTTCAGTTCGTCGTTGATAATAAACTAATATTTCAGTTCGTCGTTGATAATAAACTAATATTTCAGTTCGTCGTTGATAATAAACTAATATTTCAGTTCGTCGTTGATAATAAACTAATATTTCAGTTCGTCGTTGATAATAAACTTATATTTCAGTTCGTCGTTGATAATAAATAAATATTTCAGTTCGTCGTTGATAATAAACTAATATTTCAGTTCGTCGTTGATAATAAACTAATATTTCAGTTCGTCGTTGATAATAAACTAATATTTCAGTTCGTCGTTGATAATAAACTTATATTTCAGTTCGTCGTTGATAATAAATAATATTTCATTTCGTTGATAATAAACTAATATTTCAGTTCGTCGTTGATAATAAACTAATATTTCAGTTCGTCGTTGATAATAAACTTAATATTTCAGTTCGTCGTTGATAATAAACTTATATTTCAGTTCGTCGTTGATAATAAACTAATATTTCAGTTCGTCGTTGATATATCAAAAACTAATATTTCTAATATTTCAGTTCGTTGATAATCGTTGATAATAAACTAATATTTCAGTTCGTCGTTGATAATAAACTAATATTTCAGTTCGTCGTTGATAACGTTGATAATAAACTAATATTTCAGTTCGTCGTTGATAATAAATAAATATTTCAGTTCGTCGTTGATAATAAACTAATATTTCAGTTCGTCGTTGATAATAAACTAATATTTCAGTTCGTCGTTGATAATAAATAAATATTTCAGTTCGTCGTTGATAATAAACTAATATTTCAGTTCGTCGTTGATAATAAACTAATATTTCAGTTCGCCGTTGATAATAAATAAATATTTCAGTTCGTCGTTGATAATAAACTAATATTTCAGTTCGTCGTTGATAATAAACTAATATTTCAGTTCGTCGTTGATAATAAACTAATATTTCAGTTCGTCGTTGATAATAAACTAATATTTCAGTTCAGTTCGTCGTTGATAATAAATAAATATTTCAGTTCGTCGTTGATAATAAATAATAAATAAATATTTCACGTTGATAATAATATTTCAGTTCGTCGTTGATAATAAACTAATATTTCAGTTCGTCGTTGATAATAAACTAATATTTCAGTTCGTCGTTGATAATAAACTAATATTTCAGTTCGTCGTTGATAATAAATAAATATTTCAGTTCGTCGTTGATAATAAACTTAAGTAAGTATCTTGATTATGAAAGCTTAATGATACATATATTATCATAGAGACATTTTCATTATTAATTAGCACGATTCTGTCGATTTTCGATCATACTCTTGGTCTTAACACATCATCTATCTAGACAAAACAAATCATCATCGAGATGGTTGGTTATCAGCACAGAAAACGAATGAAAATGGGGCAAAGCCAAAATTGGCCGGGTTGCAGGATGAGCGCAATGTTATATATCGTGCTCAAAACAACTTCAGCCAATGAGAGGCTATCGCGTTTAAAACAACATATGAAACCAATCAGAGGCAAAGGCTGCCATTTTGGATTTTCCACGCCCGATTGTTGAAAATGACTAAGTTCCAAAGCCCGGAAAATCAAGAAAAAACGTCCGGAATAAATCCTAAGTAAATAGGTGCACATCTTCAACATATATTTAAACATGCTACAAAATTTCAAGTTTCTACGTCACAAACTCTAGGAGGAGTTGATTCTACAAAAACTGGTACCCCTTTCCCTACCAAACTGCGGAAAATTACTAAGTTCCAAAGCCCGGAAAATTCAGAAAAAATGTCCGGAATGAATCCATAATAGGAGATGTCTGCAGATATGTGTGAAAGAGATGACGAAATGCACGATAACTCCGTATTCTGAAATTTTGATTTTACAAAAAATGTTCTCGATTGCTTTTGCAATAGCTCATTTGTATAAGGGTGTCTATCATTTCATTGCTTTAAATAAATCTGTTGATTAATTGTTATACTTTGTAATAGATATATAGGTGTCTCTCATTTATTTGCTTTGAAGATAATACATTTTTGATTAATTCTTATACTTTGTAATGAAAAAAGTTTGTTTGCAGACTTTTGAATGAATCCTCTACGCGGATTCATACAGTTTGCAAACAATTTTTTTTCATACGCCTATGAAACTAAAAAAATGACATCAATGCTTAAATACCTATATAGGCGTCTCATTTACTTGCTATGAAGATTATACATTTCTTGATTGATTCTTACCCTTAAAAAATAACTAACTCCAGTGAAATGTATTTTCTAAATAAATCAAATATAGATAAACGATAAGCCGACATATTTAGAACGGAATGTTTCAGCATTCGCCTTCAACAATTGATGAAATTGTGAATTAAGCATGTTTTCATTATGCATTGCAATATGAGTTACGTTAGAATGTTCGTCTTTACGTTTCCTTTGAAAACTATGACGTTTTGATCTAATAGAATGAAGCTCTGATGGGACCCTGTTATGACCATGACTGCCCAAATTACACTTCCTGTGTGCGTTTGTCGTCCACGTCCCGGATTTGTATAATAACAGGTAAAAACATTTTTTGACTTAATATTGTCTGTTCTTGTGGTCAGTTTTCTAATTACCTATAGACTCAAACTTAACAACACGTGTTTTTACCTGCTGTTAAGCTTCTTATAGCCTGTGAAGTCGGCACTGATTATGGCTTTAGTACGCTGCATGCATGTACAACGTATGCTGTTGTAAACAATATCTCACAATGGCTTATGAGCTTGGTCACAGGAGAAGAATCTGATTTCATACTTACTTTTCCTATCCAATCTTTGTTATTTTTCACTAATCCAGCCAAGACGAACATTGTTCTCTTCTCTTCCAGACCACTTGACGTCAGATTAAACCTTACATGCAACAAATAACCACTGACTTTCACCTATTCTCATTGCCACAATAAATTGTTTCTCAGGGGAAGTAACTGCAAATGTTTCTTCTAAGATTACTGCTCTGAAACAATTGAAGCAAATAAGAATACATTTATTATTACAAACATATCCTTCATTAGACCAAAGTTTGCCTCCTGCGTCCTGTGTCTGAGACGTATGTTTTGATTTGTCATATGCGTGGGGAAAGTCAAGTTAGGAGGCGCAAGAGTCGGTTTTGCTCTTTCTTCTGTAATGTATGGATTATACATTGAACCTGGCTGTGTATATTTAAAATCGAGAAAAGTTTAAACTACATACCTTCTTAAATAATTACAAAACATAAATTTCTGATGATCTGTTGCTTTTTTCCAAAAAAAGGTGAACTTGACCAGAATTAAAAGAGATAAATCTTTTGAATCTAAAAAAAACAGAACTTTGCAACAAGAATACCTAAGCTATCTACACAAGCACCTCCCCAGGTGCTTTTTGTGTTGGACTGACGCATAAATAGCATCTTACGAATTCCTAATTTGTTCAGAATATCCCTTTTGAAGATTTCCCTTTCTTTAAAAGGCGCGGGGGTAGGGGGATAGGGGTGGGGTGGCTTTGTATACATGTGTTTGAAAACGCTAGAATGACTTTCCATCAGTTGCCATTGGCAATCGACATAATACAGAGAGTAAGCAACGTATTTATATGTATTAATTTTCTCTGTATAATTACTATCTAATATGTCATACAAACAAATATGAATTTAAATACCCAAATCAACTACAATTGGTAGAAGGACATTGTATGCACTAATTTGTATATTACTAGCAACATCACTTCTGTATGTTGTTTGATAATAACATATAATGGGCTTCATCCGTAGGCACCTGTACCTGGAACAGTGCGGATGTAAATATTGCTGGGTGAACACTTTATATCGTAATAGTGCTGTATTGTATATGATATAGTTCACTGAACGGAGAGCGGAGATATTGGTAACATAATGTGTTCTTGTGATTTTGCTTGCTTGCAAAACCTAGATACATATGATAATTTTGTTTGAAAAGACCAAGAAAATGAAGCTTAATTAAATATATAACCCGTATCGCTTGTATTAAATACTATGCCCATTTCAGCCTGTGGTCCTCCTCCCTTTATCATGTATGATTCAAACGATGATGACGTTTCACAAACCATGATTCCTGTTGGGGTCCTCCGGTACCTTCCATGTCCTTCAGGCACCACAGGATATCGCTACGCCACCTGTCTGGCAAATGGACAATGGTCAGAGCCGGTTTCTCATTGTTCAGGTATCATATCATTAAATCTAGTCAAAAAATGGGAAAAGATCAAATCAATCTAGACTGAAGTATTTTTTTTTTATGAAATATCAAAATCAAATCAAAATTAAAGTTAGGGGTTCAGTCGTCCTGATTCAGTGTTTGACTACGTGTAAACTGTTTGCCCTTAACGATGTGTATTTCAACTTTAAACTCCGTCGTAACTTTTGATTTTTGTTGGCTGTCGACGGGCCGTTAAATATAGCCAAACCAAGTCATTATGGTATTTAAACAGCTTCAAAATATTAACGGTAAAGATTTCAATTAAGAGTCTCAATTTAGTTTACATTTGTCATTTATGATAATTACAAATTACATATCCATCGTTGAAAGTTTCCATTCAGATAAATGCCATCAATAGGTGATTTTTTTTCAGATTGTGGAAATCCACCAAATATTTCTAATGCGATTGTTTCTGCCGGTAACACGACCATAGGATCAAACAGGATATACCATTGTTCTCCTGCAACCAACACTTCCGGTTCCGGTTTCATTACATGTCGGCCTAACATAACGTGGTCTGAACCTTCATTGGTGTGTATACCAGGTAAATACATCTACAACAAGCTTAACCCTGAATCATTCGGGGACGCAACACTTGAATATGTGTCTCTCGGCTGAGACCATGTCCTACATAAATGATGTAAGTACTTCGAGAGGTTGGAGCCGATCAATGCTGATGTTAAGAAAAAAAAAGAAAAGAAGAAAAACCAATGAATAAGCAAGGAATTTCATGTTTTCATGATTTATTTCGTATTAAATGAAAATATATCAGACTTTCTTTCAGCGGTGTAAACCTATTATACGTTCAGGCTTTCCTTGTCATATTGCGACTATGTTTTTTTTAGACCAATTGGCATTTATTTTTATGTATGAAACATGTCTTCTTCTGAAAAAAAAAATGCTTATATCTATCTATCTATACAATATATGCTAGAAGTTTTATTTTGAAATCTGGTTTCCAGGTAGAATCAGCTATGTTTTACACAGTCAGTCTCAACCAGCAGTTGTAGATACGTCTGCCTGATAACTATGCTGTTGTATACCTTGTTCTCATTTGAAAGCAGTCATTGTTTCCTGGAAGCAACTAAGATTTAAATTGCAGATGTCATCGATTGAGCAGAAAATGCCTACCTTTCCGGGACACATCTTGTACTTCTGGGGTCTCAAATCTTTTCTTCATAGTTTGCTCTTATTTCATCGAATTTGTGTTTAAATTAAGATTCTGTTGAATTGTCTTTATATTCAATGTTTGTGCATATTGCGTTTTTCCGAGTGTGAAGATTGAATGAGTTCTAAAATGGGGGCATGTTTATGAACAGTGTTGAGAATATTACGAATCAATACCATACCGTATGTGAGGCATATGGATTTCCTCTCTTTAACAATGTTCATCAATGTACTCGGTTGATGTGACACCTTTGTCTGTTAACATGTGTTGAACTGGATATTTGATATGAATACGAGACTGGTAAATCGCGATATCTGATCCGAACAGAAATGCTGATTTCAAGTTTGTATAATTTACCACATTATCTACCTTGTATCTGACTTATCCCATCAAATCAACAAAATGGAATGTTAGTAGTTAAAACGCGTCATTTAAAAATTGTTGAAACTCAAAACGTCGTCGTTCATTAATCCATATTCAACTTTTCCCCAGGAAATCACGAAACGTTATGTGATTTAATATCAAATGTGTCATCTTTGACTTTTTTTATTTTCAAAACTTTCAGACTGTGTTATCATAACAAACATGCAAAATGCGTACACCACGGCGACAGTAGCACCTGCAGGCATCACCATCCAATACACATGTGACACAGGCTATGAATGGCAGTCTGGGACAGGAGGTAGACTCTGCAACGCGAATGGTGTATGGGAAAACTTAGATATAACATGCAGCCAAGACAATGGTATGTCCATTCAATATGCCCCACCATGAAATGACTGGGCAATTCCGGTGTAATTTGAGTCTATATTGAATGATGATTTAGTATGTAGCTGTATATTAAGACAGTGATATGGAATGCAGCTGAAGGTTGATACATGGCAACACAGGGGCCGTGAAATACTCTCCACACTCACACATGCCCACCAGACATGAATACTCTTTCTAGATCCTGTTGTTCAGTAAAGACTCGTGAACGTTCTAGTTCCAAGAGTCCAATAACGACGTAAAGACATATAAAATGTTATCTATTACATTATAATGTCTTTCAAATCTTAGGATAACATCCACTCTTGTTTAAGTCAGATCACCTTATTTCCTTTAATACATATAGTATATTCACATATCGATGTAGTTTTTATTGAGATTGATACATCACGTGTAGGATTATTTGCATAATGTGATGTCAACAATATAACTTGCTACGGTAACTGACCTGAAGAAAATATTTTTCTTTTGCTTTAGAGGAGGGGCCCACTACGGAAAACTAAGCAAATTTATTCAACTCTTTCTTCTGGTAGAAAGAAAGCAATTGATCAAATATGGTCTCAAACTAACTGATTGCCACTTCTGGTATATCCAAATGATTTTACTTCAAAATAAGTTAGATATTTCAGTCTTCTTTCAAAGTGGACAACGTCATTATAATTCTGTGAGAGTGAACATGCAGAGCAAGAATTTCATTATCACATGATAACATATTTCTTTAAACGTGTTGTCTCTTCCTGAAAAAATCTTATCCGAAAAAAACCTAATTGTTCCAGTGTTATGGCAATTTAACTACGATAAAAGGTGGCAGCTTTATTTAACTTTATTGTAAAATGATGAACTCTGTTCCAAATCTTCAATTCGGGCATCTGGAAACCTCGTAGACTGGATCGCCTGCCGTAGCCCCTAGACTTCGATACGAAAAACGTTTCTGCGAGCGCAGCCTAGCTTAGAAAAGTAGTATTAAGTCAGGTAATCCAGTCTCTGTACTTTAGACGTATTTATGCTCGAAACTGAAAGAAAGATCCAAAAATCAAAAGTATCTTGACTCTGTCTTCTATGAATGAATACATGCAGGAAATGATAACATTACAGACGATCATTCAAAATATCGAATTTAAACATCAATAACAGTGTTTGTATTTTTGTTATTCAGATTGAGAACTCCCATCTATGCCTGATGGACAAAGTGGAATTACTTACGCGTCTACAAGCTACCAGGACATTTTAACATTCCATTGCTACGAAAATCCCTCTAGTCCAGGAAACATGGCGGTGACGTGTGATGGAACATGGACGTCGCCTCAATCTTATTGTTATTCCTGATTTTCTCACATTTCTATCTCATTACGATTGTTAAGCTCCGTCATTTCTATTTGATATGATATTACCTGTAGGGAGAACATTATGTAAGTAAGTATCACGTGCCTTCAATTCCGTTCTCTGTCTTAATATCAAACGTCCACGTAAACAAAGGAGGTTACATGTAGAAATAATCATAAGACTAAAATCTTACATAGTTCTTAATATTTAGAAAATTGTGATAACACTTTATAGATTTATGACAGGAAATGAATTTAGTCTTGGATTGCATATTTGGTATTTTATTATTACACATACAGATTTCATGTTTTGATCATTTGTACGACGATTACATAACAAAGAGTAAAAATACCCCGTAAGAATTGAGTATATGAATCCCGAGGACGAAAAGTCCAGAAATTGACTTCAGAAACTGAGTAGGGAGGACGACCTCCGTTGACCTTGCATTTGTTCTTTTCGTTGCTTCATATCAATTTGCGGTGGCTAAGTCTTAAAGGATAAATTGCCATTCCTTTTTGCAATGCTGTCGTAAGGTCTTGGCGGGAAGTTGGTCCTCGCTGAAACACGACACTGCAAGCTATTCCAAGGGTGCTCAATGGGATTCAAATCAAGGGGAATTACTTGGCCATTACAGATGAATTGTAGTCGCTGTTTGAAGGTAGTCGTTGACCACACAAGCCCGTGAGGATGGGCATTAACGTCCACCAGGACAAACTCTTGTCCCACAGCTCCCACAGTAAGTCGGTGACGTAGAGGTCTGTGGAAACCATCACTAGCCCACCACGAAAGTGTTCTACATAACACTCATCCTGTTACCTCCAAGCCCTCCTCCTCCCATCATAGAAGTCAAATAAAAATCTTGATTTATCACGACACTGATATACATGTGAAAGATACACATTACATTAAAACTATTGAGTAATTTTATTACATATAGTAAATATATCACGCTTTAATCAAATCAAATGTTATTTATTATGGCTGGAAATATTTCACACTTAAAACCTTAGCTTTAATTCAACAAACTGACACTGTCTATCCAATAGGTTGTTTTTGTTTTTAACTGTTTCAGTTAAAAGGAAGTGATTTCTGGACCAATCTATCTAAGTTCAGTTTTGTATTGTCTAACGTGGTGTCAATGTCTGTGTTTCAGGGATGGATCAATAAACGTGTTAATACTATGTATATATATTCATTATTATGTCAACTATTGATGCATTTTCGATTTAGTTAACACATACACACCAGCGGTCTTCTCATTCGTTTGTTCAGATTGATCTTACTATCACTTAAGCCCTTGGTGCTTTATTTACATCAACAAATATTTGCCTATTTTCATATTAGGCTTCACAAATAATTTAATCGTTACTGTATCATTGTAACCGATGTGTTCGGAAGTCCCGCATGCATTCCATAGTTTGTCGTGTCTTTCTCTTCAAATGTTTTTATTGTTGAAATAAAGATGTAACATATATTGGAATAGTTTAAATGGTTGATCGTTTTCTCTTTAATAACAACAGCAGACAATAGAGTATATAAGTGGTCAATATTTTGCTGAACGTGGAAACTCGTCTGGAGATAAGACGGTGACCGACAGAGTACTCAAAAGGGTAACCAAAACGGTGATCAAAGGGATCCAATACAAGGAGTGTAATTTTCGAAACGAAAAAGAATTTCGAGAGAAGAAAAATTATCTATTTGATAAAAGCTGATGATATGAGAAATCTGAGTAGTTTTATCGCTAGTGATTATATAACATTTCCGGTGATGATATCACTTTCGTAGTTTTGATCAATCACAGTATTGCTTTCTAGTCACTGCAATGATATTCTCCGATTTTCCTGTTCGAACGAAAATGTAGCAAAAGCTGTATAGGTTGGTTTTGCATTAAATATTTCCAGTGTACATGTATGTCAAAGCGGTTTTGTATTCAATTCTTACCATACAACAGCATGAAATGATAAAATACAATGAAAAGCAGATGGCGTCGTCTTTTCATACATAGAATATATGTATTTTTCACGATATTCTTCATACTCGTAAAATCTGTATGGTATCGTCAATATATTTGCGTTTGATAAGAACGAAAACAGTGTCAAAGTAACTAAGTCAAACCGGCTCTTAGTGTTGACAACTAGTCACAAAGCAAATCATTGCAGAACATGTAATCCGAGAAAGTGTATGCGTTACACATCGTGGACATGGGAACCAGTACTTAAACATCAGAAATATTGTAATATAATCCAAACTCAAATCCAATAAAACTAGAACAAAATATGAACAAAAGAAATATTTACACGGAGACTAAAAAAAATGTACAAGGAGAATAAGACCAGGTGTTCCTAAAGAGTAAGTGTCTTATGCTTCAGCAACGACATCCGCCATGTAAACCTTGGTCAATTCAAGTCAGAAATGTCACGTTCTCAAATGAGAGCAAGGTATACAACAACCAACATGCACACAAGCGAGCATCAAATACGTCCAGCTTCGTGTCACCCAAAGAAATGCAATATTTCTCAACTAACTGAGCGAATCTGATAGACGTAAAGACGACATTCTTATCCTAACGTACAAATTTCCAACAACATTGTTCCTGAATATATAATGAAACCAAAGCTCTGTTCGATTCGACTCTCATCTCTTTCCTTGAACCATCTCAACGAAAAAAACTGATCTGGCACATAGCTGGCACCCTGACACTTTAAAACTCGCCCCAGATGACACCCTGGAAAGCTTTCAAACTCGCCCCAGGTGACACCCTAGAAGGATTTAAAAATCGCCCCAGGTTTCTGTACAATATCAGTTTATTTCCTCTTACTCCTGTAAAACGTTAGTTGTCGACAATATCTACAATACTATGAAGGAGGTTGATCAATAGGTAGAAGTAGAAACTCACTCGTTCAGTGCACCTATCAATATGCTACATGTTGGTGGAAGGACAGAGTCGGCGTCATTCGCTTTTTCTTTCCTGTATTATAACGGAACACATAGAAACACGGCATTATCTTAACAACATCAATATACAGAATAAAACGACTTCAAATATATGCGTGAAGATAAAGCATCACTGAAGGATGTGATTGTAGACTTTGTAATACTGAAGAAATGACGAAGCGACACAATGAACCCGTTGTCTGAATATTGTTTTTACTCAAACAAAATTGATGTATTTTCAATGATAGATATAAATTGGACAATGGCTTGTTCTGTTTTATAGCCTTCTATATATGGCGACCTCACTCCATCATCGGGGAAAACCCCCATAAAGCTCAAACCATCGTGAAAATAAACAAAGATTTAAACTAAACAGAATATAAAATCTTAACCTTAAGCCAGCAAACTATTTTATTAGTCGGCATATTTGTTTACTTGGTATTTGATCGTGAATGCTTTTACTGTCGTTAATAACTTCTGGGAAATGTTTCATTTTAATATCCAACAAGAAAAATCGTTTCCTTTAAATGGCTTCATATCTACTGAAAATAAAACCAAGGGGCCCAGAGAGCCTGTATCATTCATCTGGATATTTAAGTCAGTAATGCAAAACTTTACATTTCTTTAGAAGGAAAATATTTCCCCTGATCATCCAACATATAGAGCTTCAAATTCCCAAGGGGTGGGGACAGAGATCAGTTGTTAACCTCTTGATGTCCAGCAATGCTATTAAGTTATAGGATGGCAATCTAAATGGCTTCAAAGATATCTGTCTTGGGGTTGGACCAGTTATCAGTTAAGATTGTGTTTATCTCCTGATGCTCAGCAATACTATAGTTGTTCAGTGTGTGGATCACAACTGTTTCAAAGAACCAAAGATCCAAATGATATGAAAATGAAGTCAATCTACGCTTTATAGAAAACTGATTTCCCTTAACCAGATATAACCTCATCAAAGTATGGAGAAAGGCAACAAGGTCCCCAAAGACATTCAGCAACTTCAAACAACCATCAAACAGCGGCTTTACGGGTAACTTGGCAACTACCGAAGACATCGGTATACAGGCAAAGCTTTAAAGGAAATAACACATTGGGCAGGAGTAACGATTACACCCAGGAAAGCAACATTGTTTATTAAAAAACAAACATGTAAGGAAACATAGTTTTCCACAAGAATATCACGTTTTTATCCTAAAACAACAAGATGGATTCTAAAAGTCGTAGTTGCTCTGTACAGCAGCTGCTCTTGTAATAAAACAGAGTAAGTAAACAGAAATTTACAACAATGACAAGCAGAGCTATACATGGCCATTAGACCAACAGGGCAACACATCTAAATACATACACAGAGAATATAAAAGTTAGTATTTATATATAATTCCCATCACAGTAGATTCATTATCGACCCTCTCGGCCATCAATTTTGTCGCTTTACCATTCGACAGGGTGAGATGAAGGCCAGTTACTCGGAAAGATCAGAACGAGTATATTGTCTCAGGGAGATCAGAACGAGTATATCGTCTCGGGGAGATCAGAACGAGTATATCGTCTCGGGGAGATCAGAACGAGTATATCGCCTCGGGGAGATCAGAACGAGTATATCGTCTCCTGGAGATCAGAACGAGTATATCGTCTCGGGGAGATCAGAACGAGTATATCGTCTCGGAGAGATCAGAACGAGTATATCGTCTCCTGGAGATCAGAACGAGTATATCGTCTCGGGGAGATCAGAACGAGTATATCGTCTCGGGGAGATCAGAACGAGTATATCGTCTCGGAGAGATCAGAACGAGTATATCGTTTCGGGGAGATCAGAACGAGTATATCGTCTCGGAGAGATCAGAACGAGTATATCGTTTCGGGGAGATCAGAACGAGTATATCGTCTCCTGGAGATCAGAACGAGTATATCGTCTCGGGGAGATCAGAACGAGTATATCGTCTCGTGGAGATCAGAACGAGTATATCGTCTCGGGGAGATCAGAACGAGTATATCGTCTCGGGGAGATCAGAACGAGTATATCGTCTCGGGGAGATCAGAACGAGGATACCGTCTCGGGGAGATCAGAACGAGTATATCGTCTCCTGGAGATCAGAACGAGTATATCGTCTCGGGGAGATCAGAACGAGTATATCGTCTCGGAGAGATCAGAACGAGGATACCGTCTCGGGGAGATCAGAACGAGTATATCGTCTCGGGGAGATCAGAACGAGTATATCGTATCGGAGAGATCAGAACGAGTATATTGTCTCGGGAAGATCAGAACGAGTATATCGTCTCGGGGAGATCAGAACGAGGATACCGTCTCGAGGAGATCAGAAGGAGTATATTGTCAGGGAGATCAGAACGAGTATATTGTCTCGGGGAGATCAGAACGAGTATATCGTCTCGGGGAGATCAGAACGAGTATATTGTCAGAGAGATCAGAACGAGTATATCGTCTCCTGGAGATCAGAACGAGTATATCGTCTCGGGGAGATCAGAACGAGTATATCGTCTCGGGGAGATCAGAACGAGTATATTGTCAGAGAGATCAGAACGAGTATATCGTCTCGGGGAGATCAGAACGAGTATATCGTCTCGGGGAGATCAGAACGAGTATATTGTCTCGGGGAGATCAGAACGAGTATATCGTCTCGGGGAGATCAGAACGAGTATATCGTCTCGGGGAGATCAGAACGAGTATATCGTCTCGGGGAGATCAGAACGAGTATATCGTCTCGGGGAGATCAGAACGAGTATATCGTCTCCTGGAGATCAGAACGAGTATATCGTCTCGGGGAGATCAGAACGAGTATATCGTCTCGGAGAGATCAGAACGAGTATATCGTCTCAGGGAGATCAGAACGAGTATATCGTCTCGGGGAGATCAGAACGAGTATATCGTCTCGGGGAGATCAGAACGAGTATATCGTCTCGGGGAGATCAGAACGAGTATATTGTCAGAGAGATCAGAACGAGTATATCGTCTCCTGGAGATCAGAACGAGTATATCGTCTCGGGGAGATCAGAACGAGTATATCGTCTCGGGGAGATCAGAACGAGTATATCGTCTCGGGGAGATCAGAACGAGTATATTGTCAGAGAGATCAGAACGAGTATATCGTCTCGGGGAGATCAGAACGAGTATATCGTTTCGGGGAGATCAGAACGAGTATATCGTTTCGGGGAGATCAGAACGAGTATATCGTCTCGGGGAGATCAGAACGAGTATATCGTCTCCTGGAGATCAGAACGAGTATATTGTCTCGGGGAGATCAGAACGAGTATATCGTCTCGAGGAGATCAGAACGAGTATATTGTCTCGGGGAGATCAGAACGAGTATATCGTCTCGGGGAGATCAGAACGGGTATATCGTATCGGAGAGATCAGAACGAGTATATCGTCTCGGGGAGATCAGAACGAGTATATCGTCTCGGGGAGATCAGAACGAGTATATCGTCTCAGGGAGATCAGAACGAGTATATCGTCTCGGGGAGATCAGAACGAGTATATTGTCAGAGAGATCAGAACGAGTATATCGTCTCAGGGAGATCAGAACGAGTATATTGTGATTTCGAGAAAAAAATCCTGTAACGTCAGACTGATTTGATTTTAAGCGTTGAAGTTGCTCCATGATGACACAAATCTAATACGTTAGTGGTTCATCACGGAAGTAATCTATATATCGAACTTCCAAATAAATATCTATAGAGTTTATACGTTTTGGATGTTTTGTTAAATGATTTTGAAAGTTCTCCAGAATAAAAGAAACCTTCAATTGCAGGCAATGGATATAATACATCTACTGAAATAAACTGAAGGAACACTCCTGAATTGTATATGTCGTCTCTCCGGCATGCCTAGTTGTCACCGACCAGAAGAAAGGTTGACAGACAAGTCCCCGATATTGATAGTTGGAATGTTGTAATTTGAGAACGGCAAATGTAATAATTAGTGAGAATTATCTAACGAAGATTAATGACAGTTTCAGAACCGTTTCTTAGACAAGTGCCTTGCTATCATGTCCATACCAAGTTCAATTGATGATATTTCAGAAGCTCAATCACTTCTGGGCACTTGAACAGTTACCTTACCCTCGATAAAAGCGAAGTAATTTGATTGGTCTACAGCGGGGTTTCATAAAAAACCAGACCTGTCACATAACCGATATGTTACGGCGAGGATTACAAAATAACGACACCAAACTTTAAAGCCACTACAACATATTGTTATGTGATGTATATCAAAGAATCTAACTAGTCTTTTCGTCATCTCTAGAAGGTGTCGTACCTGATACCTTCAGCTTTGCCAACAAAATATTCAACGGGTACAGAGAGCGAAAGTAATCGTAACTCTTGGAGTATCGGGGGTGACTCTCCCTGTGAGATCAAATTACACCTCATTTTGTAGTTATCAATTATCGCAAAACATATCCGTTCATTGACACTAAACATATTGTACTGAAAAGTACAGAGGTTATTGTTTAATATCAAGATTTAAACTTAATCTTTCTGGTATGCATCAAGTTTCCTTTGTACATTACATAACATTAACTAATATTGTCAATACCATCATGGCAACTTAAAAGTTTTAACTCGAGGTGATGCTGGTGACCTACTTTCAGTCAGATGATCACGTCATACATGCTGTGGAGGACTTATACTGAAAGGGATTATGTTGAAAAATAATGCAATATGTCCGCCAAAAGTCTAACCGTTAAATATGAAGCTCACAACTTATCAACGTACGTAAAATTTCATTTCTGATATTTGAGTCCTCGGTATTTGCATTAAATCTATTGTGCTGCTTTTATTAAATGATAACATTTCGGAAACAGGCGACAGTTTCATCAGGCATGAAACAGATATATAGGCACGCGAAAACGTGACTGGAATACCATACATACGATGCTATTACATCCCTTTGTAATACACATGTACGTCGATGATATCAGTCTTTTCGTAATGGTATATATTGCTGTTAACCGCTTATATTTTATAATAAATCATATTATTGTATGGTTGTCACAGATGTACGACGAAAAGTCTATATCAAAAATTGTTCAGAACTTCGCGGGAAGTGTGATTAATGCTCCTAACGGAGCCACACAGCTTCTGCAGCTTCCAACGGCTCCGCGAATGTAGGCCAAAGGTCAAAAGGTTGGGTCAGAGGTGGCATGTTAATTCAACCTGTGAGTACACAACAGAAAACATGGCTCTTGCAAGCAGGACGCTTTCGCTGAAGTCGTGTGTACGCTCGTGGACATGTGAGTATATACATTAATGTAGATACAGCAATGGATGGGTTGGTTTTATTGTATTTCAATAGTACCATCGTTACTTATGACTCGGTCCAGCTCTGCCCCTGCAAACTCTTATCGTTGCATGACCCACATATAATTGACAACCCGATCATACAAATCAGGATGACGTATACGTTGTTTAATTTTTTCAGCATATTGGTTAGATGTGAAGTGCTTATACATTCCAAATGCAAAATTCAAAGATCTGTATTGACTTCTATGCAACATCTGTGAATTTTATAAATATGCCTAGATATCTAGGAACGTATTTAGTGTTGCTAGCTCGGCCCTGGCTACAACTATGTACAGAAGTTTATCTGGGACGCATATGTGTGATAAATGTCTCTATACATGATTGTACATAAAGAGCACCCAGTAAACCATTAGAAACCTACATTGAAAAAATAGTGAATGTTATCTGATCATATTTATATAGTACATGTATGGTTTGTGGAGCACTTACATTTACTATACGAACTTCGTGATTAGGTCTGCATTTGTGGCAAATAAGATTAACACGTGTAAGTTAACATCAAGATTCTTCTATCTAATATAAGATTTCATTTCTAATATCTGAATTCAAGTATATAAACAGCAGTGTATATAACATTAGTGTTCCTGTATATAACATCAGTGTTCCTGTATTTAAACATCAGTGTCCCTGTATTTAACATCAGTGTTTTTGTATATAACATCAGTGTTCCTGTATATAACAATAGTGTTCCTGTGTACAACATTAGTTTTCCTGTATTTAAACATCAGTGTTCATGTTTATAGCATTAGTGTTCCTGTATATAACATCAGTGTTCCTGTATATAACATCCTTGTCTCTGTATGCAACATTAGTGTTCCTGTATATAACATCAGTGTTCCTGTGTATAACATTAGTGTCCCTGTGTGTAACATTTGTGTTCCTGTATATAACATCAGTAATCCTGTATATAACATAAGTGTTCCACTATATAAACATCAGTGTTCCTGTATGTTACATCATTGTTTCTGTATGTAACATAAGTGTTCCTGTATATAACTTAAATCTTCCTTTATATAAACATCAGTGTTCCTGTATATAACATCAGTAATTCTGTATATAATATTAGTGTTCCTGTAGTTAACGTCAATGTTCCTGTGTATAAACATCAATGTTTCTGTATGTAACATAAGTGTTACTGTATATAACATTAGTGTTCCTGTTTATAACATCAGTGTTCCTGTGTATAACAAAAGTGTTCCTGTGTAAAACTTTAGTGTTCCTTTTATAACATAAGTGTTCCTGTATATAACATGAGTATTTCTGTTTATAACATTAGTGTTCCTGTATAAAACTTTAGTGTTCCTGTTTATAACATTAGTGTTCCTGTGTATAACATGAGTGTTCATGTATATAAAATTATTGTTCCTGTATAAAACATTAGTGTTCCTGTATATAACATCAGTGTTCCTGTATATAACATTATTGTTCCTGTATAAAACATTAGTGTTCCTGTATAAAACATTAGTGTTCCTGTCTATAACATCAGTGTTCCTGTGTATAACATAAGTGTTCCTGTATAAAACATTAGTGTTCCTGTTCATAACATCAGTGTTCCTGTATTTAAACATCAGTGTAACTGTATTTAACATCAGTGTTTTTGTGTATAAACATCAGTATTCCTGTGTATAACATTATTGTTCCTGTGTATAACTTTAGTGTTTCTGTATATAAAAATAGTGCACTTGTATATAACAATAGTGTTCCTGTATATGATATAAGTTTTCCTTTTTGTAACATTATTGTTCCCATAAATAACATGAGTTTCCTGGCATAACATTTATGTACATTATACACATATTAAAACATCTAGTTCCTTTATATAACCTTATTTTTTTTTCAAATTGTCACATAAGTTACAACTTTTGCTATGATTTTAGCTTGCATTTCAAATAAGGAAAAAAATTATCAGGTATTTTTTTCTTCAAAATATATTGCTAAATTTCCCAGCTGATACAGACATTCTCTTAAGACCTCCTTTCCACTCCCTGTCATCCCTATCCTAACACCCCCTTCTCAACCCTCTGTATACCAAACATATATACAGACAAACAAGCTGTATTTAATGTCAATGTTATAACAATATGCTGCTGCACCAAACCATGACGTAATCATGCAGGGCAAAGGTCAGTTCCTGTGACTTCCATATGTATATTTCTGTATTGTATTGTAGCCATGCATGTGTCTTTTAGCCCGCCATCATCAGATGGTGTTCTTTTCAAATCGCCATCCATCATCTGTCCATCTGAAAACAATTTTTGTTATCTCTATTTCTTGAGAAGTGCTGAATGGATCTCTCTCAAATTGCTTATGTAGTTTCCCCTTAGTCCCTAGTTGTGCCCATTTGATTTTAGGACTGATCAGAAAAACAAAATGGCCAACAGGCAGCTGTCTTGGATTTTTTCAATGAAGTTTGTTATCACTTTTCCTTGAAAAGAACTTGATGGATCTATCTCAAATTTCTTATGTGGGTTCCTCTTGGTCTCTAGTTTTACCCATGTAAATTTGGAACTGATCAGAAAAACAAAATGGCTGACAGACGGACATCTTAGCTTTTGACTTTGAAAGTTTGTTATCACTAATTCTTGAGAACAACACTATAGATCTTTCTCAAATTTCTTGTATAGGTTCCTTTAGGTCCCTGCTTGTGGTTGTTTGAGTATGGGACTAATAAGAAAAACAAAATGGCCGAAAGGCAGTCATCATGGATTTGACCTAGTAAAGATTGTTATTGCTACTTCTTCAGAAGTACTGAATGGATATCTGTCAAATTTCATACTTTTGCTCCCTTTGATCTCTCTTTGTGCCCATTTGATTTTGGAACTGATTACAAGAAATAAAATAGCATCCAGGTGGCCATTTTGAATTTAGAATAAAGATTATCGTTGTAATTTCTGCAAATTAAGAGCAAAAACAGAGAAGAGAAGAGAAAAGAAGGGAGAGGATCCAACTTTCAAAGAGCATATAAAGATCAAACAATGGAGGGCGCCAAGATCCTTCTGGGATCTCTTGTAATCACTGAATCCTGAAATAGGCACTTCATTGATAAGATTGACTTTAAGTTTCCGTCCGAAAATTTATCTAATTTTCTATTTGTTCCTGACATTTCTAACATCTGTTTAATCATTCGCTCAGTAAATTATAGTTGTTCAAATGAACTTACTGCTATTGTAACTGTATGTACAAGGTAATATGTTTATTAAATTGGAAATATGTGACTATCAAATGTAAATATGTAAGATTTTTTATCTGTATCAGCAGCATTAAAAGTGTACATACACCGAGGGATATATTACAGTGTGTAGCAAGCAATGTATAGCTACCCTAATGTAAACACTCGTGCCTTTCACCTAGGTGAACAGGGTTAAATGCCTGATCAGAACTGAAAGGTCAAAGGTTATTGACCTGACCACATGGGTTTTCTCCTGGTACGTGTAGTCAAATTTCCTCTCACAGTAATGTCCCTTGTATACTCTCATCCAAGCCTTCATGTATAAGAGTGTTTAATTTATGTTGATAAAAGTTGTTAGCAAATGTTAGAATATCTATACAGTTTAAATGATATCTTAATTAGAACATGGTGCTGATGATCTACCACACATAATCATTGCCTCTAAAAATTTGTTAATAGTGACTATATCTCTCTAGGGGCCTGTCAGCGAGGTGTGGCAAGTTCCCCGGGCCCACAGATGCCTCCATGTGACTTTCAGCCAGACCCTTACAAGGTCAGTACAAGGTTATGACAGTGAAAGGTGGATTGTTTGTTTAATCATATATATATGTGTAAATGCATCTTTGTTTTATATCTAACAAGTTGAAAATTGTCTAAGGACTCTTTGGAAGCTTAGAGTATGGATGTTTTCCTTTTTCCATTGAATATTGAAATGTCAGGACTGACCTTAAAGTATACAATTTACTTCTATTTTTCTCACAGGGTATTGAGAGATCCAAAGTCAAACAGGTCAGAAGTGACAACTTAAACCCAGCTCTGTTCACATATTACAAGAAACCTCTGCTAGTACACCAAGGTCACATGCAGTGGCTATGGGATGTGGATGGTACCCGCTACCTGGACCTGTTTGGGGGAATTGTTACTGTCAGTGTTGGCCATTGTCATCCGTAGGTATCAAAAAAGCTCACTGTATTTTGAAATAATTAAGTATGTGGATGTTTGTTGAGACTCTGATCATGGCATCAAAATACTGGCTAAGAACATTTATTACTGGCTTAATTAGATTGATAGAGATCAAAGGTTCCAGATCAAAGTAAAGTGTAGAGGTCGAAGGGTCAAGATCATTTTAGTTCTGCAAGTAAATTTTGGAGCAGGTTTTTGTAAGAGAGTGATAACAACCATGATCATTAGCCATTGTAACTTTGTGTAGAACTGTGAGGAGGAGGGCAGAGGAACAGCTTGGAAAACTGTGGCACACAACTAACATATACCTCCATCCAACCATCCATGAGTATGCCGAGAAACTCACCGCTACACTGCCAGGAAATCTCAAGGTGAGCCATATATAATCTTGCTGGTGTCTTGTATAATATCTTACAGGTGTCTTGTATAATATCTTACAGGTGTCCTGTATATTATCTTACAGGTGTCCTGTATATTATCTTACCGATGTCCTGTATATTATCTTACCGATGTCCTGTATATTATCTTACCGGTGTCCTGTATATTATCTTACCTGTGTCCTGTATATTATCTTACCTGTGTCCTGTATATTATCTTACTGGTGTCCTGTATATTATCTAACCGGTGTCCTGTATATTATCTTACTGGTGTCCTGTATATTATCTTACCGGTGTCCTGTATATTATCTTACCGGTGTCCTGTATATTATCTTACTGGTGTCCTGTATATTATTGTACTGGTGTTCTGTATATTATCTTACTGGTGTCCTGTATATTATCTTACTGGTGTCCTGTATATTATTGTACTGGTGTTCTGTATATTATCTTACTGGTGTCCTGTATATTATCTTACAGGTGTCCTGTATATTATCTTACCGGTGTCCTGTATATTATCTTACAGGTGTCCTGTATATTATCTTACTGGTGTCCTGTATATTATCTTACTGGTGTCCTGTATATTATCTTACTGGTGTCCTGTATATTATCTTACATGTGTCCTGTATATTATCTTACTGGTGTCCTGTATATTATCTTACCGGTGTCCTGTATATTATCTTACTGGTGTCCTGTATATTATCTTACTGGTGTCTTACATGTGTCCTGTATATTATCTTACTGTGTCCTGTATATTATCTTACTGGTGTCCTGTATATTATCTTGGTGTCCTGTATATTATCTTACTGGTGTCCTGTATATTATCTTACTGGTGTCCTGTATATTATCTTACTGGTGTCCTGTATATTATCTTACTGGTGTCCTGTATATTATCTTACTGGTGTCCTGTATATTATCTTACTGGTGTCCTGTATATTATCTTACATGTGTCCTGTATATTATCTTACTGGTGTCCTGTATATTATCTTACTGGTGTCCTGTATATTATCTTACTGGTGTCCTGTATATTATCTTACTGGTGTCCTGTATATTATCTTACTGGTGTCCTGTATATTATCTTACTGGTGTCCTGTATATTATCTTACTGGTGTCCTGTATATTATTGTACTGGTGTTCTGTATATTATCTTACTGGTGTCCTGTATATTATCTTACCGGTGTCCTGTATATTATCTTACATGTTTCCTGTATATTATCTTACTGGTGTCCTGTATATTATCTTACTGGTGTCCTGTATATTATCTTACTGGTGTCCTGTGTATTATCTTACTGGTGTCCTGTATATTATCTTACTGGTGTCCTGTATATTATCTTACCGGTGTCCTGTATATTATCTTACCGGTGTCCTGTATATTATCTTACTGGTGTCCTGTATATTATCTTACTGGTGTCCTGTATATTATCTTACTGGTGTCCTGTATATTATCTTACTGGTGTCCTGTATATTATCTTACCTGTGTCCTGTATATTATCTTACTGGTGTCCTGTATATTATCTTACTGGTGTCCTGTATATTATCTTACCGGTGTCCTGTATATTATCTTACTGGTGTCCTGTATATTATCTTACCGGTGTCCTGTATATTATCTTACATGTTTCCTGTATATTATCTTACTGGTGTCCTGTATATTATCTTACTGGTGTCCTGTATATTATCTTACTGGTGTCCTGTATATTATCTTACTGGTGTCCTGTATATTATCTTACCTGTGTCCTGTATATTATCTTACTGGTGTCCTGTATATTATCTTACCTGTGTCCTGTATATTATCTAACTGGTGTCCTGTATATTATCTAACTGGTGTCCTGTGTGTTATCTTACAGGTGTCCTTTATAATATCTTACCTGAATATATTTATTCATTTGTACAGATAGTTTTACAGGTGACATATGTTATATGTGTTGCCTGAACACATTCATTTGTTTATATAGTGTTATTGGTGACATATATATTATCTTACCTGTATACATTTTTATGCTAAGAGCATTTTCAATGCTCTTCAGCATGTTGCTGTCGCCCCTGGCCCTGAGTATCAGTACTTCATTTTCATTGGTTCATAAATCGAAAGTTTACTCCTACTCCATCTGCCGGACATTACCGTAATCATTGGATTATCGCCCCTACAAGTTGCTGATCCTAGTCATTAAATGAAACAACCTTATCGACATTTTCTTCATTACTTGTACATCAAGAAAACGTTTTGTGTTGTGTATTAATGATAATCAGACATCGAAATTTGTAAATACAATGACAAAGACTCACGTTTTATGGTGGTAAATTTCGCGAGGCGATGCCAATATGGCGGCTGAACTTTCTTTTCCGCGCGATGCATTGTGGGTGTCATATCTTTCTTTTTTTTCTTTTTCGAAAATTTTCATCCCGTTTAATACTGTTGAAAACTTTTGAAAATACTGAAATATGTAGTTGAAAATAAGAATGAAACTAAAATAAGAATGATTTAGAGTAGCATAAAATTTTGACGGAAACAGCCGGGGTGCTCGGTGCTGCCCCGGAAAGAAGACGGCGGCTGAAAGAAGATGGCGGGTAACTTATGTAGGTAAGTATCACTATATATATATATATAAGCTGAATTTAATGTCAACACTTATACTGAACTAGCAATTGCATTTTTTGCAACAATTCATTTGAAATGAGCCATCGCATGTATTGAATTTAGGCTCAACGCGCAAGCTGGGCACTGCCGCCATGGCACTTTTTTTCAAAATAGTTTCAAGACTTTTCCTTTGGCTTTGAAGCAGTATGCATTTGAAAAATGTTATGTAAGCATCTAGCACATTTTTGTTGCTTCCGTAAAGTATTTCAGTATTTTGAAATGGATTTATTTTTGAATGATCGTTTCATAATGGTCTCACTTCTGTCAGTGGCCCAACATATCGGAAATTAAGCAGAAAAAAACTTATCCGTAATATTGTACTGTACTACTTACGCTACCGTGAATAGATCTAGGAATCTATCTGTATAATATATCGATTTTACTTTAAAATATCGGTCACTGTCCGTGCTATTGTAGATCTAGCTCTTTCAAATTTTTAATCGGAGATAATTTATAAGTACCCCAAGGCCAGGGTATGAAATCGTACGGGAACTCTACAGGTATGCCAATTGTAAGGTTTACATGTGAAGTTAATATATATAGTTTTAGCTTAAATTTAGTTTTTGTCTTTCTGACATGATGTCTCATTGATTCTGTTGAAGAGTGATGCATGTGAACGATTGCAATATAAAGATTGGGAATAATGAAGATGTCAGTTAACATCTGAATCCCGGAAGGTGTTGTAATAAAGATTAGGATAAACCTAGCAAAGTGTTAGGTCCCAGTGTGAATGTGTAAAGTGTAAGGTCCCAGTGTGAATGTGTAAAGTGTAATTGGTACAATTCTTATTATGCCTGAACTTTTTATATATGTACTGTATTTGTTCATTTCATTTCAGTATTATGTCAACTGCATCCACTTTCAGTTCAACACTTTTGATTCATCAATTTTACACAGCCCTAGACTCAATATTTGTCATTAATTGTCGACTTTTTTTTAGCGTTTTAGAGTTTTGTTTCCATGGTGAATGGAATGAAATGGGATAAATAGTCAAACCAATACCCCTCGAGAGCTAATTAAGATATTGCAGTATTATCACTTTGGGCCTTATTAAAAGTTAAATTGAAACTTTAAGAAACTCAAGTGAGTACAACAATAAGATGTCAATAATCAATGAAATTGATTAATTGAGAGGACATTTTCTTAGTACAGTTAACCAGGCTTTGTAGTGGTTTGTTCAGAACTGTAGTTCTGGTTAAGTAACCATTAATTATGTCTTTTCAGCTACAATGACATACATTTTTGAAATACCTCTACTGTAGCTAAATGTGGCATTTGTAATAGACATAGCCAAAGTTAATTTTGTGATAGAAGTAGCCAAAGTTAATTTTAGGATCAGTTAGGACAGCTAATGTTTGTAACGGGCATGGGTTCAATTACATGATGATGTAATTAAATAAATTTAAATTATGTTATGAAAATGGCATTTCCATTACAGGTATTTTCAAAATAATTAGATTACCATTACATGACGGTCCAATGTAATTAATTACCTTAAAACAATCGCTAGACTGCAGAATCCATCGACGTCATCAGCCAGGACCACCTCTCACTGGATGTTTCGACTCCTATCCTAGAAGGTCCTCAAGGTGGTGAGTCGACAGTGATTGGCCAAATCACTGCCCGTCGATGGATGGCTTCCAGCTCAAATCTTCTCTTCTCCACCAAAGCCAGCTGGACGACTTCTCTGCTGTTGTTGATAGTCGTTGAACAGCTGCCCTTCGGTCTCTTCCCTGGATGCCTAGTGTAGAAAACATCCTCCACATGGACTGTGCAGGGAACCCTCTGCACCCCATCTCTACTGGCAAGACCCACACACTCCATCCTTTTGCTCTCACGTCGTCTGCAAGATCAGCGTACTTCCCTTTCTTCCGCTCATGAGCCTCTTGGCATCGATCCTCCCAGGGGACAGTTAGCTCAATCATTATCATTTTCTTCCCTTGCTGTGACCATAGCAGGATATCTGGACAAGGTTGGTTTGGACGACATCTGGGAAAACTAGTCTTTGTCCTAAGTCAACCCGCCTCTCCCAACTGTTTGCTCCATCTAGTATCCCTCCTTGGTGCACTGCTTTCTTATTGGTTGTCTCTCCAGATCTTACAAAGTTGATGTATGGTTGATGTTTGGTACATTTCCTCTTTTTCTGCCTTTCCTTCTCAAGGGTGTCTGCTAGCTCTCGCAGTACCTTGATGTGTCTCCATGTATATCTCCCCTGGGTCAGAGCGGTGTTGCACGATGACAATACATGGGCCAGGTTACCCGGTTGGTCACACAGTGGGCAGTTGGGGTTTTCCGTCATCCCCCATCGGTGGAGATTGGTAGGTGTTGGTAGGACATCATACACTGATCGCAGGAGGAACTGGATTCTACATGGTTCCAACTTCCAGATATCTGCCCATGTAAGACGTCTTTCCGTTGTCTCCCATTTGGTCCATGCTCCCTGTGCTCCCATTTCTACAGCTTTAACCTTCCTGATCTCTTCCTCCATCTTCCTGATGTTATCTTGAACCATCTTCCTCCTACCAGCCGTGTCTGCTGTTCCCCACCTTTCCACCCGCGTTGACCCTAACCCGTTTGCCTATACAGGTAGTCCCAACGATGTCGCTGTGCCTTAGCCTGCTCTCTGCTTCCTGTACCGCACTGCTTGCTGACCACTTGCGTCCTGTTCGAGTCTCAATTCCAGCATTCCAGATCTCCTCATCTTTGGAGTCTCTAACAGTCATCACCAGCCTAACCTTTGCCACCTTGAACTCTTCTACCAGTGATGATAATGGGAGTTGTAATTTGCCTGTGGTGCTGTAAAGGCCCACACTGGTAAAACTTGGGGGGACTCCAAGCCAACGTCGTAGACATTTGCTTATTTTCCTTTCCAGGATTTCCACTGTGGTAGTGGTAACCTCGTACAGGGTTAGAGGCCACGTGAGGCGTGGTAGGAGCCCGTGTTGGTACATCCACGATTTGAATTTACCGGGCAGTCCTGATTTGTCAATTCTCCTCAAACCTTCTTCCACCTGGTTCTGCAAACGTTTGATATTCCTGTTGTCGTTCAGGCTAGCATCAAACCACTTTCCTAAACACTTGATTGGATTGTCTATGATTGTTGGGATCTCCTCCTGCTATATCGAGAGCTTGAACTTTCTGGTCACTTTCCCTTTCTTTATCACAACACATCGAGATTTCCTTGGTTTAAACTTCATCCTTGCCCATCCAACTGTTTCCTCGAGTGCTGACAGGATCCATCGCGCCTGCACGTGGGTGGTAGTTGTTATGGTCAGGTCGTCCATGAACCCTCTGTTTGGTGGTACTCGCACTCCTGATGAAGTCTTGGGTCCTCTAGTCTCCCGGTCTGCCGCCTTGATGATCAGGTTCATCCCCATCACAAAGAGTATGACCGATATAGTGCATCCTGTTACAATACCCTTCTCAAGTGCCTGCCAAGATGTTGTTATCTCCCTGACCGTGAATCGGAGCCTGATGTTGCTGAAGTAGCTCTTCACGATCTTCTGGATGTGATCCGGGAGGTGGTAATGTTCCAGCGCCTTGAAAATCAACTGGTGGGGGACAGAACCGTATGCATTGGCCAGGTCTAACCAAACAACTGTCAAGTCTCCTTGATTGATCTTGGCTTCCCGAATTAGCTGTGTGATTGCGCTGGTGTGTTCAATACATCCAGGGAATCCTGGAATTCCTCCTTTCTGCACAGAAGAATCGATGTACTCATTCGATGTCATGTACTTCGTCATCCTCCTGGCAAGTATGGCAAAGAAGATTTTCCCTTCTACACTCAAGAGTGATATGGTTCTGAACTGGTTCATGGTCGCAGAGTTCTTCTCCTTCGGTACAAATATCCCTTCTGCCGTCTGCCAGCATTCCAGAATTTGCCCTTTCCTCCAAATCACCCTCAGAATCCTACAGAGCCGTTTCAGAAGTTTTGGGCACATCTTGTATACTTTGTAAGGTATACCACTCGATCCAGGTGCTAATCCTGATCTTGCTTTCTTCACAACTTCAAAAACCTCCTTCCAGGTTGGTTCTTTCTCGTCTAACTGGAATGTAGGCTCATCCTCCAATGGTATTTTCTCACACTCTCCAAGAGGCTCTCTTAAATTACACAATCTCTGTATGACCATGGTCGAGATATTATTATTTTGCAAGCTGTCCATCGCTTAATAATTTGACAGTCCTGAACGTCAAAATAAGTAATTACAGTATATTTAATATAGACTCCTATTGGGAAGTTCAAGACTATAAGCTTATACAGAAGTGTATATTTCTTGCACATAATCATAGCAATAATGAAATATAGTTATTTATTTCCCTTACTCTCTTTCAGCAGGTGGATGTCCCTGAAGAAATGAAATCTGGAATGGTAGAAGGTATCTCTATTGATTCTTCTAACTTGGAATTGGCTATTATGACCAACAATGGATTTGAGGACCTTATGGTGGAGAAAAACGTCCTTCTTTCCGGCCTCCAATTAGATGTTGAAGATGATTATTCACTTGAGGAAATGCTAACAACCATGTTGCCTTTTAAGGTCACAGTACTCTCTAAAGGTGGCAATATATTTACCATCACAAAAGAAGAATCAACAAATCGCAGAAACTTAAAAAATGTGGAAAAGATCTTCGTATGCTGCATTTGTAGTAAATTTGTATACAATCTTCAATTTACTTGTGTAGAAAGATTCACTAGTTATACCAAGTTTGTGTAGAAAGGATCACTGTATACTGAGTTTGTAGTGTACATAGAAAGGTTTACTTATTTATTTTTTTTCTGAGTTTAGTGTATACAATATATATAAAAAAAACTTTTTGTAGAAAAGATCACCGCATACTGAGTTTGTTGTTTACAAATGTGTAGAAAAGATCGCTGTATACCGAGTTTATAGTTTACAATTGTCTAGCAAAATCACTGTATACTGAACATATTACAACTTCTGTTTAAAACCTTCATTTAAACTTAGACGTGTATTTTTTTTTATTCATCTTAAATGTCCACCTACAACAATTTTGTGTATGCAATCTTGTACTAGGATATTGACATGACAAGATTACATTGCTGATCAAAGCATGGAAAGAATACTGAATAAAGAAAACAAGATATAAGCATATTTATCATGTTTTTATTATTATTATTATTTTTCAATGATGTCTGTCCACATGGAATTTGTAAGCACTCTTGTGCATTCTTATACCACCAAAAGGTGGGTAAACTGGAATCAGGTTGTCTATCCGTCTATCCATCTGTTTGTCTGTCTGTAGACACATCTTGTCTGGACAACTCAAATGAAACTTTACAGTAATATTCGGGACAATGTGTAGATGTGCATGCACCATTTTCTCTCGAAATATTGATTGCCATGGCAACTGGTCAATATAGACAGGTTTTGCATGTTGGTCAACTTCCAAATCTGTGGACCAATTTCAACAAAACTTCGCAGGAATGTCAGGGAATATGTGCACATGCCGCTGTGTTTCAGAGGATGTTTCTGTGCAAAAGGTCACCATGGGGAGATAACTAAGGCTGTGGATGTTGGGGGTATTAGTTATCATTTGGATTACAGTTTCAGTTATCCCTGGGCAATGTGGAGAGGATATAGTAATGATTTTGAGGATTGAATGTAGAGGTCACAGTACTTGCATAAGTACAATAGGATTACCTTGTAAACGCATTGAGACTAAAACAGTTAGTATACCTTAATCAAATTTGGAACATGTATCCCTTATGAGAATTCGGTTTCTTAAGAAATTCAGGGTCAGATGTCCGAGATCAAGGTCACAGTCAAAAAACGGATAGTTGCATGGGTGTGTTTTCCTTTGCATTACCCTCATTCTTCTTTCAAATTTCACAACCTAAAAGATATTCACATCTTGCAAATTTCAAGGTTCATGGTCACTGTAAGGATGTTAAAAAATGATAATACAAGAGGAATAAAATATCTTGCGACAAGTTTTAGAGAACAAAGAATATATAAACATGTCAACAGAATTGTAGAACCAGCAAAACAAGTGTGAAATTGAAACAAAGACAATATCTACTTGAAGATTCCCTGAAAAAGTACAAGGAGAATAAGACCAGGTGTTCCAGAAGAACAGGCATCTTCTATTTTAAGTTATGATGACAAATCATGTTTGTTTTATAAAATTGGCACTCTTATGCAGTCATTTACAAACAATCTGGAAAATGAAGCTGCCCAATATTTGTACGTAGCATGTTATTTGCATGATGGTCTAGCTAATGATCTTAAACCAATAAGATACGCAGTCTTTAAAGTGATAATATGGTGTCCAAGATCAACATTCCCTACAATGTATCCAAAGAAATGGACAACTTCCCTATCATCTTGGAGCCTACTTGGGACATTTATTACATAAGTAATACTACTATGCTTGTTATTTCTGATACCTGCTCGTCATTTTTTATGGGCTGCAATGATGTACTGCTTGCTTATAGTTTTTTCAGTATATAGCAAGCTAATAACAAAGAATTTATTGTTTTAATGGTCTTAGCATACCAGTACTTTCAGTACTTTGATTTATGTTTTTCATCTCCAGGTGTCCTGCTAAATGCTATTGTAAAACCAGCCAAAGTCATTGATTATATATCAAAAGATTTTTTTTTTTATTTTTTAAGGTGTGTTACTTCACCAACAGTGGTTCTGAAGCCAATGACATGGCTGTTCTTATGTCTAGAATGTATACAGGAACTTATGATGTCTTATCTCTCAGGTAAGTTAATTACACCAGATCTAATGATGTCTCTCTCAGGTAAGTAAAGTACACCAGATCTAATGATGGCTCTCTCAGGTAAGTAAAGTACACCAGATCTAATGATGGCTCTCTCAGGTAAGTAAAGTACACCAGATCTAATGATGTCTCTCTCAGGTAAGTAAAGTACACCAGATCTAATGATGTCTCTCTCAGGTAAGTAAAGTACACCAGATCTACTGATGGCTCTCTCAGGTAAGTAAAGTACACCAGATCTAATGATGTCTCTCTCAGGTAAGTAAAGTACACCAGATCTAATGATGGCTCTCTCAGGTAAGTAAAGTACACCAGCTCTCTCTAATGATGTCTCTCTCAGGTAAGTAAAGTACACCAGATCTAATGATGGCTCTCTCAGGTAAGTAAAGTACACCAGATCTAATGATGGCTCTCTCAGGTAAGTAAAGTACACCAGATCTAATGATGGCTCTCTCAGGTAAGTTAATTACACCAGATCTAATGATGGCTCTCTCAGGTAAGTAAAGTACACCAGATCTAATGATGGCTCTCTCAGGTAAGTTAATTACACCAGATCTAATGATGGCTCTCTCAGGTAAGTAAAGTACACCAGATCTAATGATGGCTCTCTCAGGCTCTAAGTTAATTACACCAGATCTAATGATGGCTCTCTAAGTAAAGTACACCAGATCTAATGATGGCTCTCTCAGGTAAGTTAATTACACCAGATCTAATGATGGCTCTCTCTCTCAGGTAAGCTCTCTAAAGTACACCAGATCTAATGATGGCTCTCTCAGGTAAGTTAATTACACCAGATCTAATGATGGCTCTCTCAGGTAAGTTAATTACATGGCTCTCTCAGATCTAATGATGTCTCTCTCAGGTAAGTAAAGTACACCAGATCTACTGATGGCTCTCTCAGGTAAGTAAAGTACACCAGATCTAATGATGTCTCTCTCAGGTAAGTTAATTACACCAGATCTACTGAAGTCTCTCTCAGGTAAGTAAAGTACACCAGATCTAATGATGTCTCTCTCAGGTAAGTAAAGTACACCAGATCTACTGATGGCTCTCTCAGGTAAGTAAAGTACACCAGATCTAATGATGGCTCTCTCTGTTGAGTTAATTTTGCATGATAGCACTTTATCATTACACACAAATTGACAAGAATGTATATCTTTTTCTCAGGTGAGTATATGTTTTTTAGATAGCAGTGACTTGTTCGATGTAATCAGATCTGACATAAATTTCATCACCACCATAAATTTTATTCATACAATTATCAATGATTTTTTCTAGATATGTGTACTTCAGTATTTTACACAACATCAATAACATTGTTAGGTGTATTACTGGTACACTTTTCATTTCCCCAGATGTTTCATATAATAATGAATAGTAATTTATTTCATCTAAGTGTCACATATTGACCTACACTCATAATAAAAGGAATCAAACATTAGAAATTAGATCAATATTGAGCCAAAATTAATCAACTTATGAGACACTAAAAAGCACTTATACATTATTAATATTCCATTCAATTTAAAAAAAGTTACTAATCAGCTTATTCAAAGCTATTTTCTCACACTCAGTAGTATCCTACTTCTGTTTTACCAGTAGTTTCAAACTTGTCAGGGAAGCTGGGGTCACTTTATTGCTTTATAGAATGTTATATTTGTCAACTTATGAGACAGTCGTTATACCTGAAAATAAAATGTTACCACACACTGACGGACAATTCAAAAAAGCAGTTATAGCACACAAGTAATGGTAGACTTCAGATAAACCAGTATCTTCACATTATAGAACGTTATTGAATATATATGTCTACAGGTACTAAAGACATATTGAAATATACACTGAAATAGGATACTACCACACAATGAAAGCTTGTTAATAGGAATTATAGCACATCAGTAACAATAGACTTCATATGTACCAGAATTATTATCAAACATAACAATATGTGTCTCTATTTATACTAAATTAGGATATTACCATTACAACGAGAGTCTATAAAAGCTGTTTGTATTACATAGATAAATATTTCTCAATATTTCATTATTTAATGATTGTAGGAACTGTTACCATGGTGCTAGTCCCTATCTGATGGGTCTCACAGCCCTGAACACTTGGCGCTACAATGTTCCCTCAGGCTTTGGCATGCATCAGGTAAAATGTTAACATGGTATAGAAAAAGCAAAAATACAAGAAATATTTCTCTCTATATCAATGTATTTGAAGACATACAAAATCAATGCAGCACATAAATTAATTATCGTTTATACTTTCAAGCCTTTCAGCCATCTTCAGACGATAACTTTGAGCTGTAAATGTCTTGGTTACAGCATCATGACGTATAAATATATATAATTTTTGACTTGTGCCCTAAAGGGGCTTCAAACTTGCCATTTATGGCATCAAATTGCCTAGCCAAGAAGTTGGACTAACCACCTAACTAACTACATCACCCTTACATCCCCTAAAATGGATGTTTGGAATTTGTAGTGATAGAAAGCTGGAAATTCTTGACATGGTCACACTGTCTATTAAGAAATATGAACACATGAGTCACTATGTATGTGTTTACATATGTATATATACTTGGATAAGATTTGTACATATGTCATATATTAAGCACAAGTACAATTTCGACAGGAAATTCAAATCTGAAATGTTCGGATCAACAGACATTACTGTCAGTGGTGCATTGCATTAATTACTTAATATCTAACACATATGATAATATCAATTAATGAAAACATTGCATCATATACAGTAATGTATGTTGATCGGAAGGTTTCAGATTTAAATTTCCTGTCATAATTGTACCTGTGTATATACAAACATCAATGTTCAAATAAGTCTTGGTTCATAAATATCCTGTTATCACTGTGATTACTTAACACCCATAGTATTACCACATTTTTTTAATTATTACAATTTGCGTTAAATTTAAGACATATAGACTTAACCTTATGACAGAATTGTTGACTTGTTAAGTAAATATTGACAACATTTATGAAACTTGTCACAATTTTTCCCATTTTGTTTTGAAAGAGTTTCTTGAACTTTGTCATGAACTATTTAAAAACCAAAAATCTTATTTCTATATGTAAATATTTTTTCCCATGAAAATTAAAAGGTTTTTTTATATTCAACTCCTGAGATATTTTCTTTGTTGACAGACCATGAACCCAGACCCTTACCGAGGACCTTGGGGAGGAGCACGCTGTAGGGACTCACCTTGTCAGGTGAGTTTAATGTTTGTCTGTAAACAGTAATCTGATTTCGGTTGTGGGGATGGGGGTTTGGATTGAGGGCAGACATATATGTACACTGGATCTGATGTACCCAGTGAGTGATGTTCACTGGTGGTTGTGAAAATGAGTAGAAAAATGTACAAAAGGATTAAGAAGTAAATAGATTTATTTAATTCCAACTGACCATCTGGATTTCTTGCTGTATTCATAGGCACTGAGGTCATGTGACTGTGCTGAGGGTCAGTGTGAAGCAGGTGACCGCTACTTGGAACAGCTAGAAGATGTCTTGAGGTTTTCCATGCCCAAAGGGAAAGTTGGTGCTTTTTTCGCAGAATCAATTCAGGTAGGTGTTCAGGAATAATGTATATCATCTTATCAGTGAGTCAACTAAGTCATTATCAGATTATGGGAGATCACAGGTGATGTTAGGACATAAAGATGATATCGGAAATCAGGACCAACAGCAGGCATTATATCACTTAGAACATGTGTTAGAAACAGCAGAAAAAACAGTGGCTCTGAAACAAGGGTCTGTAGACATCATATGCTCTCTGTACAAGAATTCTACATATGAAAATGATTTATGTGACTTTCAGACCTATATGTATATATCTGTAGGGAGTCGGAGGGACGGTCCAGTTTCCTAAGAATTTCCTAAAGCGAGCCTTTGAGAAAATTCGGGAACATGGAGGACTTTGTATATCTGATGAGGTAAGACTGTTTGAAACCCAAGTAAAATGTTTGTAGGTACTATTTTTTGTGGTTTAGACCTAGCTATAACATCATTTAAAATAAAAATATGTGATTTTGAGGATATCGCATGCAATACAACTTACAGAGTATACTTTTATTTGAAGATTTGTTGTTACACTTTATTTTCATGTTAACAGCCACAAAAACAAAGTTTCTTATATTGACCATCAAACAGATTTAATCCAGCTACACAGCCCTGTAGGTAGGGCGTAAGAATAGTACCAGCTATCTTTATACTCCCTGAAAATTTTTGGAGGAGCATATAGTCACCTCCTGATACGTCCATTCCTCTTTCCATCCATTCTTTCATATCCGGAGCTTAACTTTGCCCACAGTGAAGGAAGGATCATGCAACTTAGTGTATACATTGGTCATACTAAGAGGTGTGCAGACTACCAAATTCAGGGATCTCAACTGCTAAATTACAGAGTTACTGCCCTTTGTTAAGATTTCATGTCTGGAGCATAACTTTGCTTTTATTTAAACTAGGGTAATGAAACTTGGTGTGTATATTAATCATACACAGACAATGTGCTGCATATCAAATTCAGGGCCCTCAGCCACTCAGTTACAGAGCTGTTGCACTTTGTTAAACACATCTTGTCCAGAATCATAAATTTGCTTGCATTTAAGCATGTATAATGAAACTTGGTGTATACATTGACCATACAAAATTGATGTGCATTGTACCAAATTTGGGGCCCACAACCCCTTAATTACAGAGTTATTGCCCTTTATTAAAATTTTGTGTCCAGTAAAGTTGTTTATGGGAAGCATTCATCAGCTTCACTGATACTCGTGTTGTATGAGCCGAGGAGGTGACTAAACTTGAAATATTTTAGATTTTCTCTCTTTTCTAAACATCTTTCTTCTTCCTGATGTCTCCCTTAACACTTCTTCACTTCCTGTTAGTGGAGTGTTCCCTGTCCTTGTCGGGAAGCTAGGCTTTGGTTCCTGTACCCAGGTCAAGACATACCAGAGTCAACAATTGGTATTTACGGTACTACTTCCTACTTAACATTCAGTTATAATTTTGTAGTAGTGTAAGATTGGTAAGCCCATTATCAGTATGTAACCAGGTGGGGTGTCTGGCTTGACTAGCCTATGGTGGTATATATTTCTGTGTAGTACTCTAAAGTTACTATCACAAGGAGGCTTATACATCCACTCACAATACATGCACTAATCAGGAGGCCGACCTTAACTGGCTGTAGCTATTGATAAAACACTTATCAGTTTAAAACTAAACCAAACTGTCCAGCTATGAAGATTCCATACAGAATTAACATAATGTCGGGTTTTAGTAATCACCTTGATGTCCATTGTTGTCCGTTTTGCTTTGATGTTTTTATTGTGAAACTTGCTTATGATACTTGGTACACATCCTCGCTCAAGTTCGATGTTCGCCAAATTCCACGCATATTTAATGAGGCTGCTGCAAATGGCTGAATGTTTTACATGTCTGTCGGTTTCGCTTTCCGCGCGATATCTTGAGAAGGAATGATGGGATTTCGATGAATCTTGCTTATGATACTTGGTACATAAGTCCCTTGCTCAAGTTCGATGTTCGCCAAATTCCGCGCATATTTAATGAGGCTGCTGCAATCTGATTGGCTGAATGTTTTACACAATATCTTCTGAAGGAATGATTTGGGATTTCTTTAAAACTTGCTTTGTGATACTTGGTACATAAGCCCCTCATTCATTCAATGTTCAGTGTTATGTTCTGTTTAACTGACAGAGTAACAATACATATATCTGTCCATCTGTCCATTTTCATTGGATTTTGATGAAAGTTGCTTTCAATACTTACACCTGTCCATATATTTCTTAATATTAAGAAACTCAATCATAAGGGGTAGGTATTATGCGGGGCCCTTCCTCGACATTGGTCTAGTGTCTTTTATTACGATCATTGTTGTCCTTTTGATGTTTTTATTGTGGCTTAACCAACATCCTTCTTCACCACTTAATCTGGAAATTATCATCATACAGAGATATCTAAAAAATGCTTTTCTGTCTTTTTCTAGGTCCAGACAGGATTTGGCCGAACTGGCACACACTATTGGGGATTTCAGGGACATGATGTGATACCAGACATTGGTTAGTGTTATGTTCTGTTTAACTGACAGAGTAACAATTACATACCAGAATTAGTAATTATCTGTAAAATACTTACACAAAGTAATAACATCATACCAGGTTAAGTAGTCTGTGTAGTACTAATAACATCATACCAGGTTAAGTAGTCTGTGTAGTACTAACACAAAGTAATAACATCATACCAGGTTAAGTATTCTGTGTAGTACTAATAACATCATACCAGGTTAAGTAGTCTGTGTAGTACTAACACAAAGTAATAATCATCAGGTAGATTCTGTGTAGATAATAACATCATACCAGGTTAAGTAGTCTGTGTAGTACTAACACAAAGTAATGAGGATAATTATCTGGTAGAGGTCTTAGATAAACTAACACTGTCTTTGTACAATTATATCATAATTATCTGGTCATCAATACTGTGTAATATTTCCCCTTACAGTAACTATGGCAAAGGGTATAGGTAACGGGTTCCCTTTGGCTGCTGTGGTAACCACTCCCGAGATCGCCAGTAGTATGGAAAGAGCACTTCATTTCAACACTTATGGTGGCAATCCTTTGTGCTCTGCTGTCGGCTCATCTGTACTTGATGTAAGCTTGGTATCTGAACTGCAATGAACATATAAATAATAAATTGAATTGTTGGAATTTCTTCATGGAAAAAACCTCTGTAAAAATGCTCTTTTTAGTGAAGAAGAAATGGTAGCAGAATATTACTATACAGAACAACAATAAATAAGGTTCCATGTCATTCTAACTCATGCAAAGATTGTAAGATATGATACAGAGATATATTGATCGTTACAAAACCAGTTGTTTTGTTGGACATGAAGGTAATTGAAGAGGAGGGAATCCAGAACAATGCACATGTTGTTGGAACCTATTTCCTGAAGGAACTTGAAAAACTACGTGACCAGTTTGAAATTGTGGGTGATGTTCGCGGGAAAGGCCTCATGATTGGTGTGGAGATGGTGCAGGACAAGGTAAAGAAAAGCTTTCCATTCTTTAGTCTTCACAAAAAAAGTTTCTTTCCATCCCAGTTTGTCATCTTATTGTGCTTCTAGACTCCATAAAAGTTTTATTTAGTAGGGAAAAATATACATGAGCCATGGAATTTCTCGTCATGAATATGACTAATCTTTTATCCTAACATGGTATATTTCCAAGGCTTACCTTGTGTGAAAACAATATGCAGGTATATATGTATACATATGTATACATGTAGATACATTTTTATTTAAGCAGACAAAGTGAAATTGTTCCTTTTACGTCATATTGTGGCTAATTCAAAAGAAAATTACAGTGAAATCTGTCGAGGGATTAAAGAAAAGTGTCGGGTGACATTTAAAGGGAATAAATGGTTAGATGTTCATTTTTGATAAAAAGCATTATAACATTTAAATATCTGTTAAACGTTTTCTGGTAATTATAGTATTTAAAAGTTTTAATAACCATTTGATTAAAAACATCTAAAGATTAAGATAAAATAAGAGCGAATAAAAAGAGGTTCCCTGAGGTCACATGATGAACTCAGGTGTCACCGATCAAAAGAGTAAATGGTGGTAGACACATAATTGTTAGTTTAACAACATTTGCCAAAAATCAAAATGCATGGAAAAAAATAATGATATTTAACCATTTGGTCCCATTAAGCAGAGGTTCAGTGACTGTAATTTGCATTGAGACATGGAACCTGTGGTTTATAAATATACATGATAAAAATCAACATTTAAGATTTTATTGTTGTCTATTAAAGATAAAACTTCATTCTTAATGGATGTTTAGGCAACCAAAGCACCTCTTCCTGTGGAAGATGTCAACAATATATGGGAAGATGTGAAGGATATGGGAGTTCTCTTAGGAAAGGGAGGTGTATATTCCACGGTGAGTACTGTGTCCACCCTGGAAAGGGAATATTGTGTTCTGTGGCGACTATTGGGAGTCCTCCTGGGGAAGGGAGGTGTATATACCACGGTGAGTACTGTGTCCACCCTGGAAAGGGAATATTGTGTTCTGTGGCGACTATTGGGTGTCTTCCTGGGGAAGGGAGGTGTATATACCACGGTGAGTACTGTGTCAACCCTGGAAAGGGAATATTGTGTTCTGTGGCGACTATTGGGTGTCTGGGGAAGGGAGGTGTACATATATGTATATTCTATGGTGAATACTGTCCATCTCAAAAACAAAATATTGTCTTCTGTGGTTGGAAGTTGTATTGGGCTAGAGGGAAATGTAATCTGTGCTTGGTAATGGGAATCCCTGCTGGGCTAGAGAAGAGTTTATTCTCCTGTATCAGGGATCCTGGAGGGCGAGGGAATAGTATATTCCTTGGTGAATTACTTGGAGTTTTAACTAAGTTTTGTAGTTAAGGAACCAAATTGATAAAGGTGCATTTATGGTGATTATGTCAGGATTATTTTTGCAAGTACATGTATTTAAGAATCTTGCCTTGAGTCTGGTGTTATTTTTTTGAGAAAAATGAAAGTTAGCAAAACTGTGAGAGATTTCTCTGATTTCTTTTATATTCAGGTACTGAGAATCAAACCACCAATGTGTCTCACAATGGAAGATGCCAAGTTTTCCATCGCAGTATTCCGCCAAGCTCTGGAGAACTATTATGCCAAGTGAAGAGTTTTACTAAGCAGTGGAGAATGATTGTCAGATATAATAGTTCCACCAGAGGCTGGAGAACTAGACAACCAAATAAAGAGTTCTTAGGCAGAATAATACTGCTATGTGTTTACATTCAGTGGATGGCCTGCTAAACTCAAGATTTCTTTTTTTATATTTCTTCAAAACATTTTTATTATACATTCAGGATTTGTTAAAGGGAACCTCATTAAAGAAGAAATACTGAAGACTTAGCATTGTTAAATTCCATATCCGAGGTATAGAAGATAAACAAAAATTAACTGTAGATTTTACCATAGATATCGATACACCAAGTGTTTTATTGGTATTTTATTTAAAGTAGAAGAAAATAGATTTTAACTGGGCTACTATGAGTGTAAACCGGGTTAAGTGACAGTAGGAGCATTTATTAATGTTGAAGGTTTGAAGTGACTATGCAAATCATTTATTTCTCGTTATGGTTATTAATGAGTGTAAATGATAACTAATTTCAGTGCCATATGTTTTATGTTGTATACAGTATATGAAATTGACTGCAGGTTATGTAGATTTCAGGGTTCAAACACAATGTAATATAAATTATAGGAGTGTTGTTAGTTAACTCAAATCCAGTTTGTATAAGACACTGGACATTGGGAGTATATGTAATTCGATATACACAGGTACATAATTTATAAACATATCAAGAGTTATCATGTGTGAAATATCAACAAATTCATTGAGATGATGTAGTGCAAGTTGAGTTATGCCCCTTGTAGAAAGGATCTCTGGGTTTTCAGATAGTCATCATACTCATTAATTTCAATGCTTTGTTGATATTTTAATGGACTTTTTGTGTGTATCAACAGACTTTATACAAACTTTGTAGTCCGATGAATTTTTTTTGTTATGTTGTTGAATATTATTATGGTAGTAGAATGTATTGGTATTAAAGTAATAGACATGGAATCACAAGTTGACCGTTGGTGTAAAGGTAAAGTATCTAACGCTATCAATCAAACTTTAGCAGATTGTCATTTTTGTATCAAATTAGTGCCTCTACAATTATTACTATTTAGACAAATGTAGAAACTCCAGCGCCATAGTTTGGGTGTGAAAAACACTAGAATATCATTAGGACTAAGTACTTAGAAGGATCAGTGGAGATATTTGGTTTGTTGACAGAATTTGATTGTGATCTGTTTCTACCTAATATGGTCTTTATGTAGTTATGATAAATCAGAAATTGGCCAGGTTCTTTTGCTGAGTGAAATATTTAGTAAAATGTAGACTGTCTGGTTTTCTATTGACAAGTTCACACAGTAAATCTGATTGGAATTCATATCACTGTTAATGACACCATCTCTAAGTACACTGTCCTTAATTATGACTGTGTAAAATAAAACCTGAACACAGGTTTAATGGAAAAACGTTTTATTATGATTTCAAAAACACTTGTAAGTGAAAAGCTGGCTTTACTGAAACACTCTCTTGCCTGACCAAACAGTGTAGCCTTCTTAGGTTCATTGAAGACAGTCTCATGTACATAGTATGTAGTAGTTTTAATTATATTGTGTAAACAACTTTCATAATCATACAGTGAAAACCTGGCTTTACTGACACATTCTCTTGTCTGATCAAACTATGTAGTCCTCTTATTGTCACTAAGAACAAGGACCATGTAGCAGTGTGAATGCCATTTATAGAAATATATATATGAGGAAAGGATTTAGTCCACCCTTTTTTTTACTTTTCACTCTTAACATTGTTTATTTTTTATTATAAACTATACCGGTAAGCATTTGTCATGTAATTTCTTTACCTTCATTTTTTTAATGCTTTGTACATTCTACATCTTCACTAAGTGTTTAGATTGAAATAACTCATGGTTTGTAATGATATTATAGATAATAAGCACATTTTAAACATGTTTGTCCTCGGAACTAGGTGTAACGTACACATAATTAATTTTGGCCATTTTTTCAGATCTGTTATTTTTAGGGATGGGGTGGGATGTAGGCATACATGGAAGAAGTCACTCCTACACACATAGAAACGTTTGAATGCATGGTATTGCCTAGGTGAAACAAAGCACAGTATATTTCTCCTTATTCAATATATCAGAGACTTTTTTTTTTTCCCTTTTTAAGCAACATCTTCTGTACAGGAATGTTTTTTTCTGAAATTTCAGTACTTTTGTACATTTGTAAGATCATACTTGCAGGCTGGATACATAGAGAAAACATGGTTAGTGTCTTAAAATACAACTTGTATTTTAAGACACTGACCATGTTTTCTATTTAACCTGCAACATTTATTGATCATCAGACTATTTCAAACTTAAACAGTTTTGTTCAATATGTGTTTGACATCTGACATTGACCTTACACTGAATTTTGCCTAATGACGGACGTCAAAATAATTATTTTGTGCGGAAACATAGTTCCAAATTTCATTGGACATAACAGCGATTTTCTGAATTTTCATAAATAAACTTGTGCATTACAACATGTAACTACTTTGTAAGTATGCAAATAATTTCTTCAGTGTACAACATGGTGCTATTAATTCACGTTCTATTTCAGGGATATAATACAGTGACATACCAGTATGGTACACTGTATGATGTGGAAATGTCAGACAAAATCAAACAAAAAGTGCCTTACATTTTAGAGGTTTTAGAAGGCATTTTCCTGATTGTAAAGCTAGTTTATCAGATAGTCACCATATACTTTGTAATTGCAGTGTGTTTTCTTTATCTCAATAAAACCAGATATCACTGCACATGTATTTTGTCCATAGTGAATGGAGGTTACACAATATTTAACAAGTGTTTTTAAGCTCCCAAAACGGAGAGCATATAGGGCCTGATTTGTCTGTCTGTTCGTCCGTCCGTCCACCCTCATAATTTTGTCCAGAGCATAACTTAAAAACTTTAAGAGGTATCAATATGAAACTCGATAGGCGGATAGATCTCAGCTAGTAAGAGGGTAGTACACAAGCACCATCACTTTCTCATTGCCCTTCGTTATTTTTCGTTCTTGAATTTGTCCCAACTGGGGGGCATAACCTGTCTCTGATGGCCCTTGTTTGTAAGTTTAGATAAATAATTAACCTGAGAGAGAGAAATATGAAATGTACCATATACAATAACCACAAGTGCATGTCACCTGTCACAATAACGAGATATCAGAGGGATCTTGGCACCCACTATCTTTATTTATTCTTTAAAAGTAGAATCTTCTGCTTTCTTTTCTCTCCTACTCTGTTTTTGCTCTTTAACTGCCAAACGAAAGATGTTCATTTATTTTTTTCTGATCTGTCCCGAGATCAAATCACACAAATAGGAACCGAATGCCTGTATCAAATTCAAGAATGGGAAACCAAGATGACCGCCGGTCAGCCATTTTGTTTCATCATCTATCCCAAAATCAAAGGTACACAACTAGTGACCATGGGGATTAAAAAATCAATCGGGTACTCCTCAAGAGAGAACAATAGCAATGTATTAATGAAAAACTTTCCTCCTTAAAATCTTAATTGGCCGCCTGCTGGCCATTTGTTTTTGTTTTTTGTTTTTGTTTTTGTCCGTGAAAAAATAGAATAATGTACATTTAAGCACCAGAGAAACAGTCCATTATTCATCCGGTACTTCTCTATTTTGGTAAATGGTATCAGCGGAATTGGAGAGATTTAGATTTTTTTCAAGATGCCGACCAGCACGGGCATTTTTTATTTTGGATCCACCCGAAATCATCAGGATCATCTCAGACACTTTAGGCAAGTTTAAGGTGAAGTCCATCGGTCTGAATAGAGGAAGTTTAGAGTAGGTGTTTTACGTTAAGAAGAACATCCGATTGTGCTGCACAATGAAAAATTGTCGACATCCTTGTCCTCTAGTAACGAAGAAAATTTCAAATCATACTTTTCAAGATGACGGCCAAGGCGGCAATCTTAGATTTTGGACTTGCTGGAAAATTACCATCACCTGGTCAAGACCATCTCACGATCATCCCAGGCAGGTTTAAACCAAAACATCTAAAACTGAAGCAAGGATATGCATAGCATACAAACATGTTGGCTATACTTGAATGTTAGCAGAGATTGCCTTTCAGTCAGATGGCCTTAGCTAAGATGATTACACCTGTATACAACTGTATCTATTCATATAACAAAAGCTGATGTCATAACATGTACTATGACCTATTTTATGATCTTTGTCATGGGTGTGAGTCAGGGTGCACATTTTACCCCAAAACGTGTTCAAAAACATAGAATCATTAAAACGTGTCAAATCCTCTTCATCAAAGTCTGCAGCATGTTTTGATCTAAGTGTAAAGATAAATATAAAAAGTAATGGAAGTTTAACTGGGAAAAAAATCACGAAAATTTCAACAAATTCGAGATTTGGAAAACTTTTTAACAAACAAATAGTTGCTGTCCACCTAAAATATTTACATATTTGTTGGCCACATATATACACTTAGAGTACCGAAAATTTTATCGGATTTCCGAGGCCGGTAAAATTGTTGCAGAGACAGATCTTTTTGTGACGGCAGCATCATGAAAATATTTCTAATTTTATCAGCACGTTTCTTCTTTTCATTATAAAACAGTCACACAACCACGTGGTTATTACATACATGTGTTAAGACACTGACTGATTGTTCAATATAAATCTATAATAAAAAAAAAATTTCGATAATAATTGTTGCCATACTTAACGCAAACAATGATAATAATTCACAAACATAAATAAGTTTTGTCAATTAAGATTTCTGGTACCAATTTTCGATTTCTTTCATTGAGATATTGACAGGTTAGTTCATACAGTAAAAATCTTCAAGTTTGTTACTGTGTGGTTGCATTGGTTTTTGATGTTCCGAATGCACGTAATACCCCGGGTACTATATTGATACAATGAGGGCACAGATGCCAGAAATTCTCTTTCCTGCATGACATAAACATTAGTATCGTCAGATTCATTCTCGTCAAACTTAACCCAAACACTATTGTTCGTTTGAGACTTGTGACGAGAATGAATTTGTCCTCGAATGAGATCATCATCATGCTGGTAGACCCAATTGTCATAATCGCCGTTATCTGGCTGATGTTCCTCAATGTAACTAGATGACTTTGATTTGGTCCGTAGTGATGGTCTCAAGGAATTCCAGATGCGCACGAGGAAACGAGATATCAGATACTTCAAGTTACTGCCATTAATCTTTAGTTCGGCATGCCATCCTGTGGTCTTCATCAACTCGCTTTGTCAAAATATTGTCTTTTTGCAGGAGTGAAATCATTTGCTGAGCCGCTTCAGTATCACGATCCATTCAAAGTGGATGGATCTGAAACACGTGGGCCATCTAAATGCATGCGGACGTGCAGTTAAAATACGAACTAACTTGCCAATGACCCAAATGAAGTAATCTGATGGAGGTTGATCCTTGATAAGTACCCACTTCTTCAGACGTTCATGGTAGGACTCTAGACCCCATCGTGGTTTAGTACAACAGCGATCGCTGTTGGCCGTTTTAGAGCCCAATAGTGGTTTTCTAGCTGGTAAAGACGACGACATTCTAGTGTCATACTCAGCTCGCAAGTAGATCTAAGACGTTCCTGAAACTGCGATCCACAATCATATTGTCGTTTACTTTCAGTCAAGATTTCTAAAAGATGAGTTGTGTCTTAAACATACCCATCAGGCTGCACAATGGACATGAACTTTAGATAATTTCTTCTGCCCTTCATATGATGCCCTTTGAATCGGGTGATCTTTGCTTTTGTTGAGGTAGATATAGGTACTATCTAAGATCAGAGTGGCCTGATCACCAAACAATGCTTTGGTAAATACAGTATTGTGTGTAACAGCGTCTTGGCGTGATATATGGGCTATACCGAGGTATTTAGTGACAGCTTAAGCGTTCAATATATCAACAATTTTGTGAAAATATCTTAACAGTGTGGTGTTTTGGAGAGGTAAGTAAGCATGGTCGTTTGATAACATGAAATGTTAGTTTCAAGTTTTGCCCAAACATACAGAAACAGGTCTATTGCACTCGCAGTGTCAATTGAAGTAGAAACAAGGTCAGATTCACACATGCCATACATGTCCTTAAATTGACCTACATCCAGGTAGTCCATGCTTGGCAGTCTGGATCTGACTTTTTTCAAATCTTGATTTCGGGAATTCTCGTGTTAAGATAAAAGATGTACAATTTCAAGCAAATCATTGATTACACCTGAGGAAACAAATCCACTCAGATTACTTTGCAGAGGAACAAAATGTTTATACTGATCTTTGTATCAGTATGTAAAATGCTTCCTATGAGATGTTCAAAACATATACGAGCATCAAGAGGGCTCCAAAGTGAATAGTTATGGATAAGGAGTGACGGACAGACTTAAACCAGATTATAACTGCTCCCATTTGCGGAAAAATAACTCTTAAATCATTCGATGATGAATTGAGTCTAGGGAAATGTGTTGCCTGGGCAACAAGCCTTTACTTAATGACAGACTCAACTACATCATTTCTTTGATTAGTGACATTGCTTACTAAATGTGCTCATAAGCAACCAAGTATACAATTCAATAAAATGTGTACCTGTTGGCTAGTGGGCAAAGATCACCAGTTCATCTCCTTCAACTGCTTACCTCTGCTTCAGCTTTATTTTTTTTTACTCAAGGAGATATGCTACTACCTAATTTATTCATTATTGATGCGAAGAATGCGGCTTTGATATACATTGCATATTTCAAAAATAAATAAATAAATAAATAAATAAATAAATAAAATAAAAAAAATAACAAGAGCAAGTAAGGCTGTGTGAGCCTTTTCTGTTTTTAAGCCAATGAGGCAAAATGTGATTTGATATAATTTTCAATTAAACGCATATAGAAATAACGAATAAAATTGAAATAAACATGTTTAGATAAAAAATAACACTCTGGGTAAAATGTCAGAAATAAGAGTAGTTTTCTAATTCTGTCATCACAAGACTTTGTCGAACAGTTTTCCAAATCTTGAATTTGTTGAAATTTTTTATAAAAAGAATGATTTTTTTCCCCAGTTAAACTTCCATAACTTTTTATACTGATAATATTTAGCTTTATACTTAAGTTCAAAACCTGCAACAGACTTTAAATGAAGGGGATTTACCCAATTAAATTATTATAGGTTTATGGGGGAAGATATGCACACTGGCTCACACCAATGGCAAGGATAATAAAATAGGTCATAGTACAAGCCATAGAAAACTTCTTGATTTTCTAAATATACTTTCTTAGCAGTTTACTAGGATGCTACAAATAACACACAATACAGATTAAATTGGGATGTGGGCAAAATTACATGTACCGTGAAACAGGTCATTTTCAAGGCAATCTCCTCCTTAACCAGGACAAAACAAATATTACAAATTTACAGCACACACATAAAACTTAAAGCAAAGAGAGTTACAAACTACAATCGAGAACAAATCCCTTCGGCCGTAGGACGCCGAGGGCCCACTATAGGTAGCGACATCTTGCGATGATGTTCGAATGATGATGAACCAGAGATTGATTTTGATGTAAATTTCAGTACGATTATGTGATAGTTACTGATTGTATATAGGTGACAGCAAAGCAAACTTTTCAATAGTCCGAGACTAAATAATATTTTGTATAAATTCTTTATCTCGTGATTTGTTTATATAATCTAGGAAGAAATTTCTACATCGATACTATTTTTCTTTGGTCTGATACATGTGGAAAATATCGCAATTATTTGTTGAAAAA